CACAAAAAAAAAATTAAAAAAATAAAAAAACACATCATAGTAAAATTAATACCTTCTCAGCTTCGCATCGAAGCTAAAAAAAAAAATAAACACATCTTAGTAAAACCAATACCTTCTCAGCTTAGCATCGAAGCTAAAAGTGAAGAATAAAATATTGTATTTTTAAATTGATATGTGTTCTGGAACTTAATTTGTGAGAAAAACTCAACATTTCGTTAAAATAACTATGTTTTTTATATTTTAATTGTAATAAGTGATTTAAATAGAAGTCTTATTAAGTATTTCTATGCAACTCTTGGTATTTAAATAACTATTCATATTGATATACTGTATATAACACATTCTGTTTGCTTCGTATTTTTTTAATTAAATTATATTTATTGATTATCATACGTAACATAATAATCAAACAGAAATATTTGTTACATTAATTAGAAGAATTTTGTTATTATTTAGTCAATATGCGAAAGTTTAATTGCAGACTTGAAATCGGGGCAAATATGGTTTAGATAAGTATATTTTGGTCTCTGATAAAAATTCCTTGTAGACTAATAAATTTATTTATGAGTAACAAACGATTTTTTTTTTAAACTTTTGCTTCAAATCCTTCAACTTTTATATATGTTTGCCATAAAAGTAATACCTACTTAATAATTTTTTATAATTTCTCTATAAAAATTACAATATTAAGTTATGAAATATCAATCTCTTATTCTATTTAATTGTATAATAAATATTTTTTCATAAATTATATTTTTATTTCTAAGAACTACTAATCAGGATATAAATAAGATAATAAGAGTTCATTTTGCTTTTTGAGTAATCCAAAAAATTAATTAAACACTATCTACAGATTTGCATCGAAACGTTTCTTATGATAGTGACTTTAATCACTGTCTGTATTATATATACTTGTCCAAATATGCCATGTCCACACTGTGCCGCGGACTCCACTATGCTATGGTTTTTATATACAAATTCTATAGCTTTATGAAAAATCTTTTTGTATATTTTTTTGTAATTTTGACCCACAGAGGTAAATTCAAAATGACAACTATTTCACAAAAAAAAAATGATGTTTAACTTAACTTTTGAAAGTAGTTTGAAAATACTGAACACCCTGTATATATCTTAAATTAAAGATTATGTAACGTACTTTAATATGGAAAAAAAAATTTCGGACTTTATTTTGTTTACCGCATTTAAAAATGTGCTATTTATGTGTTAAAATTCTCGATTCCGTATTTTATTTTAAAATACCTTACAAAAGCTTTTGAATTAGAAAAAAATGTTTTTACTCATTCCATTTTTATCTCATTTAGATTCAATAATTTCAATAAACATCAAGGATTCCATCACTGTAGTTTCCACTTGTGAGAAGAAATTTCTTACTCATATTAAAATTATTTTACAATATATTTTTTTTTGTGGTTGTCATTTATTTTTTCAGCTATCACTTGACCAATTTTTTAAACGATACATTAAATCATCACAAATAGTTTCCAGTTGAAGAAATTTACCCTTAAAAATTGAAAAAAAAATTTCCTTTATTAAATAAAAAGTTGCTTAATCAGCTTTCTCCATATAGACAATTAAAATCATTCATTTCTAATTCTTTAAGTATTTATTGTCGAATTAGTTTTGATATGAAAATAAGTTTGAACTACAAAATTAAATAATTTTACTTTGTAACTTATTAATTTTTAATTCTATTTATATGTGTTAATACAAGTCTAAAATAGTCCACTTTTTTGATAACACGTTGCTATATAAATCATTTCTAAAATAAAATGATTTTTAGTATCACCTTAATTTAACAATTTATTGTTACAATTAAAATTAAAATTTATAATACACTCAATTGAATAGATCTTTTTGATTGCTTCTTTTAGTTAAAAATAATCATTAAATTTAATTAAGTTCTGAATATTTCAATGGTAGAATCTTATTAAACACCAAAAGTTCCTTAGAAATGAATACTATGACTTCTATTTAAATTTTCTATTACAATATAAAAAGAAATTTATTTTTCTGATAAGTTTACAATAAATAGTAGTTATACAATTTCCAGACTGCATATTAATCTTATCAATACTCTTTTTTTTAATTGTCATAAATATTTCTATCCAATAATGTAAATTTTAAACTAGAAGTTGAGTTAAAAATTATGGAAACAAATTCAACATTTTAGCTTTGATGCGAAGCTGATTAATTTTACTATGACGTGTTTTTTAAAATTTTTTTTTTATATGTAAATACTTTTTTTTTTAATAATAAGTAATAATATTAAAACTTAGAAATGATAGAAAAAGTTTAATTGCATATCTTAAAACATCGAGAAAAGTAAATTTTTGTTTCTGATGAAAGTTCCTTGTGGTAAAGTGTATAAAACTTAAAGTTTTATTATAAGTAACAAACACATTTTATTGAAAAGTAATGCGTCAAACTCTTTAAATTTTTATACGTGTTAAAAGTAAAGAAATATACTACTACTTTATTATATTTATAATATCTCCCTAAAAATTACAATATTAAATTATTGAGTATCAATTTCATACTAAATTTAATTATTAGAATTAGAATTTATTCATATATAATAATTATAAATCAAATAAGTAATCGGGATAAAATTAAGGGAATAAAGGTAATTGTTGCTTTTGAAATAATCTATTGGTGGAGAATTCCAAAAGCTATATGATCTGCTAGTTCCTTATTAATATCCTGATAAAGATAAAGTATGTCGAATGAAAAAGAGATTATTAAAAATATTATTTTTCATAAAAAAATTGTGTTGATCCATACACTTTTGAATAAATTATAGCATTATAAAGTTAAAAATTAAAAAAATAAAATCGAGAATTTTCACACAAAAATAGCATTCGGTAGCCATTTTCAATGTGAAAACAAAATAAAGTCCAAAATTTTTTTTTCATGATAAAGTTTATTACATTAACTTTAATTTAAGATATATATAAAAGTGTCAGACTTACCGGAACATTTTCAAAAGTCAAGTTGAAAAATTAAATTTTTTGTGAAAAAGTTGTCATTTTAAACCCCCCCCCTCCGTGGGCAGGTAATTATAAAAATAATTATTATAAAAAAATAGGGTAGTGTTTTGCTCTTATAAGATATTTTAAAATAAAATAAAATACAAAACCCAGAATTTTAACACAGAAATAGCATATTTTTGTATACGGTAGCCATTTGCGCATAGAAAATAGGTGGTCGGGACAAATTTTTTTTTTTCATTTTATAATACATAAAATAAGCTTTAATTTGATATATGCTTAAAGGACGCAGTATTTCCGAAACATTTTCAAAAATCAAGTTGAAAAAGTTAGTTTTTGTATAAAGTTGCTATTTTAAATCCCTCCAATAAACAGCTTAAGTGTTAAATTTACAAAAAAATGATAATAATCTAAGGTTTTAGTATAAAAAAAAAATATGTTGATTTGTTTATTTTTGAAATAGTTATGGAAGTTTTAAAATAAAAAAGTGAAAATAATGACAAAATTTACTGATTTTTTAATTTGTAATTTTTTGGATATTTCCCCCATTTGCGGCGAACGAGGGAAAATTTTTCAATTTTTAAGGGTAATGTCTTCAACTAGATACGATTTTTGATCTTTTGACGTATTGTTGAAATAAATCGGTTCGGTGAGAGCTGAGAAAAAGTGGTAACAAACACAAAAAAATAAATAAAAAAAAAACACATCATAGTAAATTGAATACCTTCTCATTTTCGCATCGAAGCTAAAAACGAAAGTCGCCGAGCTCACAAAAACTCGTCTAATCTTAGCGACTTCCACGGATAAAGTAAATAATGAATTCAAACGAAAATGTTATCATAAACCATCCAAATGAAATTTAAAAAGTTCCCGTTATTTTCTGACACACCTCGTTTATTATAAACATTTAGCACATCACAAATATGAAATTTGACGTACAGTGCAAAGATAATGACTCTTAATTAGTGGTCATTATTGACAATAGATAAACAGAAAAATAGAAAAGGAAAGAAATATTATTTTAAATAAATGGCAAATAACCAAAAAATTATGTATAAAAAAATGTAAAAATAAAGAAAGTAAATGTACATTTTTTAATAAATAGTTTTATGAAACATCTAATAAAATGTTGCTGATACAATTTTTCTGTTATTATTATTTACTTATTATATTTTTTAGAAATAATGCCACTACATTGTTTACCATTAGGTCTCTTTCTTTCCATATTTTGGTTTATTTGTGAAATATGTCCAATTTGTGAAGCTTCATATGCATCTAAACAAAGTAATTAATATATTTAATTATGAATATAAAGTTAATAGTATTATTATTTAAATATTAGACTATATCATGTAATATATTAACTTTTATATATTTACCCTAATAATATATATTTTTTGATAATGTTACAATAATGTTTTTATAACTTTATTATAACATTATTTTTTATCATTGTTATCTTGGTAGTAGTAATTCGTTTATAAATAAAAATTAAACAAAAATATATTAACCTAAGTATACAAATTAAACTTTATAAATTAATTATTTACAGATTAACAGTAAAAATTAAAATAAATTAAGGTTTTTGCCTATTCACTTATACCGAATAAATTTTATTTATAAAAAGTGTAATTTGAATTGTTATAAAATTTTCAAAACAAGTAAGAATCCAATATTAAATTTCATTTAGATGAAGAATTTTCGTTTTGGTTAAACTACTGCCCAGAACCAGAGTGGCCTGCTGACCATCCATTGCCCTTACCTAAATGGGGTAATTCAAAGCCAGTCTTTACAATCAGCACTTTAAAGGAATACGAAGAGCTAATTAAAAAATTGGAAAATGAATTACAGTTATTTTTAATATCGAAAACATATGATTCAGTAACAAATTTTATTTGGTAACCTTATACTTCGCCATTAATTTGTGATATTAAAACATGTTGGGTTTATTTATCAAATTTTTTAGGTTTTACAATCACTATAAAAGTAAAATGGAAGATCAGTCATTTGACAAATTTTTCAGAGAATATGAACCAATATTAAATGATAATGCAAATAATTGTGTTGGACTATCATTATTGTTAATTGGAAAATTAGCAAAACTTGATGTATTTTTTCCCGGAATTCGTGAATGTTTATATTTAGTGTCATGTGAAAAAAATTTGAAAGTAAGTTATTTTGTATTCAATAAAATAGTAAAAAATTATTAAATAATTGTTATTTGATTATTAGGTTGGTTTAAACCTATACTAATTGATTGCATTTATCATAAACCACTCCATTATTCTCGAAATAAATACAAATTGAAAGAAAAATTGGATTTTTTTTCATTTAAATATATTTCTTGATTAATCAGAATAATTACTTTGTATAATTATTCTTTATAACTTATAAAGATATTAACTTAATTTTTTTTAATGGAAACATATATATTTAACCAGGGACGTCTTGAGTTTAACTTATGATGGGAGGCGGATTTCAAATATTTTTATAAACTAACTTGGAAATTATTAGCAATAATAGTGTTTTGACTTTATTTTTATGTATTATTTGATGTTATTTATCTGAGATATACATTGTATAAATATTTATAATATGACTAATACTAAAATATAATAATTCTAATAGTGTTATACGAACAAATACTTTTTATTAAGAAATATTTTTTAACAGTTATTATTAAGAAAATTCCAACTTTTATCAATGTTTAGCTTCGATGCGAAGCTGAGAAGGTATTGGTTTTACTATGATGTGTTTTTTTTATTTTTTTTGTGTCTGTTACCACTTTTTCTCAGCTCTCACCGAACCGATTTATTTCAATGATACGTCAAAAGATCAAAGTCGTATCTAGCACTTTAAAATGGAAAAAATTTCTCTCAAACCCTTTAAATGGGGCAGATACCTCCAAAAAATACAATTTTTAAAATCAGGAATTTTCTACATTTTTTTTATTAAAACTACCAAAACTTTTTCAAAAATTATGAAATCAAATCAAAATAATTTTTTTTTAAATCAAAAACCTTAGGTATTTTGATTTTATACGATATAATTTTTTTTAATTTTGACCCTTTACCTACCCTTAAGGGGATTTAAAATAGCAATTTTTTTTACAAAAATCAACTTTTGAAAGTGTTATAAACAATAATGTAAAATAATGCATCCTATAAACATGTATTAAATTAAAATATACTATAAGAATAAATAATTATCTTGATGACTTATCTTATATGAACAAATGGCTACCGTAGTTAATAACATACTATTTTTGTGTCAAAATTTTCGATTTTATATTTTGAACTTTAAATTGCTATAACTTTTTGATAAATGTATGTATCAACATAAATGTTTTTTTTTCTAAATACATTATGTATCATAACTTTTTCATTCGAGATACTTTTTTTTAAAATCTTACAATTTTTTCCTTATACAGAGTGCGTTAAAAATTTGAAAAATATATATAAAAAGTAGAACTATTTCCACTTTTGAAAATGTTCCGGAAATACTGCGTCTTTTAAGTATATGTTAAATTAAAGTTTATGTTACGTACTATAAGTTAAAAAAAAAATTTTGTCCCGAGGACCTATCTTTTAAGTGCCAATAGCAGTCAAAGTTGAAGAAAAAATAGGTGTTGACTGTTGGTGAGGTATGGGTGGTGTTATTTTTATCACTAGACGTATTTTTTCATCTAGATCTCTTTACACTCCTACTCACGCCTAGGTATAAAAATGTTAATAACTTCTGAAATACAGGTCCAAAAGTTGTCATGAATTTTTTTACACGGATTAGAGCAAAATCAAAAAAATCTTTAAACTTTTACGACGTAAACAAAATTGAAAAATATCACAAAATTTTTTTCGGGCGAGCAACTATTTTGAAAGGATGGATAGCTGTAAAAAAATATTATTATAAGCGATTTTTGATAAACAAAGTTATAATAGTTTAAAAATCGGTAGCATAGTGGGGTCACGGCATTAAATAGGAAATTTTATGAGAATTAAAAAAATTGTATCGTTAAGATTAATATACAGTCAGGATATTTTATAATAACTATTTATAGTAAATTTATCAGAAAAGCTCAATTTTTTTTTGCATTTTTATCGTAATAGATAACTTAAATAGAAATAATAGTAATCAATTCCTGGTAACTTTTGGTGTTTAAAAAGATACTACAATTAAAATATAAACTGATTAATTTTAATGATTTGCTTTAACTAAAATAACTAATCAAAAAAAGTTGTTAAAAAGATCTAAAAATCCATTGTTAATTTAGGAGAATCTAACAATAATTTATTTTAGAAATAATTTATATAGCAACATGTCACCAAAATATTTGGAATATTATAGTCTTGTAGTAGCACAAACAAATAGAGTAAAAAAATAATTAAATTACAAAGTAAAATGATATAATTGTGTAATTAAAACCTATAATATCGAACTTCATTCCTCAATAAATACTTTGAAAACATAAATGAATGATTTTAATTTTCTGTATGGAGAACATGGAATAAGTAACTGTTTAATTGATAAATTAGAATTTTGTTTCAATTTTTGAGGGTAATACTTCAACTAGATACGAATTGTAATCATTTGACGTTTCATTAAAAAATGTAGGTCAAGTTAGCGCAGAGAAAATAAATGAGTCACAAAATCTACCCTCTCAACTTTGCATCTAAGCTAAAACCTAAAATATAGTAAACTAATTTTAATATGAATAAGAAATTTCTTCTTAAAATTTGATAAAAATCAAGTGAGTTGAAAATCTATTCTAACTTAAAAAAAATTAAGAAAAAAATGCAAAAAATTCTTTGCCTTGTACGGGTTGGAACCTTGTAACCCTTTTTTTTTTCACGACCGGCTTAGTTGTAGGCCCCGGAACTACCGTGAGGCATTACTTCAGGGCGGTCCACGCCGTTTCTTAAACTCACACCACCACGTTGTGACTCAGCCCGAAATTAATCAAGAGCTGATTCACAACGTGGTGTGGCTTCCCCCGTTAGCCGGATCCCAGAGTGGGATCCGTTGCCCGGGTTACACCACGTGGAGGTGGGGGTAGGACTTTGCGAAGGGGGCAAAATATAACTCACAACACATAAAACATATAAACGCGAATTACCTAAGGCGCCGTCCTAAACCAGCGCCTTAGGTCCTCCTGTACCGGGCGTCGCGGCTGCCACTGTCTCAGGCGTTCAGCTTCCTCCTTTTTTTCCAAAATAGATTCGGCAAACGCCTGGACAAACCTCCACGCCTCCCGGCTTCCCAACATCAGGTCCACTAAGGACCCGACACGGAGCGTGGACCCCAGACGGAATTCCAGAGAGTCCCATTCATGGCCCCACGCCTCGCACCGGAAGAGGTTGTTCAGAGCGTTGTCCCAGGCGATCCCGGCAGTGGTTGCACGTAGGCGCGGCTGCCCTTCGAATAACGTAGAGGTATTCGTTGAAGAAGCCGAGGCCGGATATCACTTGCGTGAGACGGTAAGACAAAATGATAATTTTATAACAGTTTTAATGATAAAAATGATAATCCGTTTGAATAAATAATAAAAGACGAAATAAACTTGTGAAATTAAAAAAATATCACATTATCTGTGGGTTTTCCCAGTTTTTCTTGTTATGTAATCGTTAAAACTAAAAATAAGCTGCATCACAGAACTCCCAGTAAAATTTCAATAAAAATTGATGGAATTTTTTTCCAACTTGAACAACAAATCGAGTGACCACTCAATTTGTATGAGAATTTCGTAGGAAACACCCTTGTGATGTTTATTTTTTATTAAAATAAAATTTAAAGGGGAGGAACCTAAAGTTTGATAAAGGATAACATGAGTTAGGTGAAATAAGGAGACCAGTGACAATTGACAAGGACGTGATTGGAGAGATGGACAGTTTTAAGTATTTAGGATCAGTTGTGCAAAAGATTGGTGGTATTGACGAGGATGTAAGAAACAGTATTAAGTGTGGGTGGTTGAAGTGGAGAGAAGCGTCTGGTGTCTTATGCGATAAAAGAATTCCTGTGAGACTGAAAGGTAAATTCTATAAGACTGTAGTAAGACCAGCTATGATGTATGGTTCGGAGTGTTGGGCGATTGATAAGAAAGTAGAGCACAGAATGAGTGTAGCAGAGATGAGAATGCTTAGATGGATGAGTGGAGTGACTAATAGAGATAGAATAAGGAACGAGCATATAAGAGGGAGTATAGGTGTAGCGTCAATCGTGGATAAGATGAGAGAAAATAGACTTAGATGGTTTGGTCATGTTATAAGAAGAGAAGAATGGGAAATTGTAAGTACAATTGTAAAAATTAATTTCGAAGTGAGAAGAGGTAGAGGAAGACCAAAATAGAGATGGAGAGAATCTTATTGAATGCGATAAGAGGACAGCTAAAGTGAGCGTAGATGATGTGGGAGATCAATGTGAAGTGGAAGTTTAGGATAAGGGTGGCCGACCCCAAGTAGTTGGAATTAAGGCGAGGAAGAAGAAGAAGAAGTAATTTAATAATATTTTTCCCTACGGACTACGCTGCCGGTCGTCCAAAACCCGTTCATAAGATTGCAACTAAACCGTACCTGCACGCACACGATTGCGCACCTTATTTATGATATACGTTTCAGAATATTGCTGGGATGATGCTGCCGGTTGGGTTGGGTCGTTCAAACACTGCTCGTGTGTGCATGTGTATCTGCATATACTGAGGGAAATTACTTTCGGCAAATGTATTATAACGATTTTACTATTTACAAATTTGCATTTGTAATCAAATATTATTTTTTTAAAGTATAGAATTAAGAATATACAATTAATTTTAGTAGGAGATGTGATCGTCCCGTCGTCCAAACTACGAGCTGCCACTGCTAAACATAATATTTGACCAAAAATTGAATAGCAGATGCCGTTTCTTGGGGTATTTTTAGTCAAAATACAAAAATATGTTAAGCAATTAGTAATATTTTTTTTAAATCTTAAATTTTCACAAAATGTCTGTTTTAATGTATATAATAAATTTAAAAGTGTTCTCATTAAAATTTTGATGATCAACTTTTTCTTTATCCACCCTAATAAATATATAGTAAGTATTGTTAAAATTCTCTAACAGTGTTGAGATATTTTAACTAAATTTATAGCTTTGAACTCTAAGAGATTTGTTATTGTAATAATCAACTTTACAAAATAAAACTAAATATAACAGTTAAAAAAATTAAAAAATATGTTTGGTTATTATGTTTCTCTGATCATACATCGACGAATGGTGTATTGTAATATAATAATTCATTAATTATAATTAACTATAAAATAATAATTCTTCGGGCAATACTATCATGGCATACATTTTTTATGTAAATATAATTTTTTGAATATATATTTACACAATTAAAATTTTTTACAGAATTTCGAAAAATACAATAATGATAATCCAATTCAGTGGATAACAATTAAAGAACATGTCTTGATTTGTTTACAAATTAAAATATTTGAACGAAAAGGCGTTTTGCTACTAGATCCAGGTTATTCAATTGCTAGGGTTATAACTGTAATGAATGATAAATTGAGTCCACATACAGGTAATTGTTTTCCTTCAATAATAGAGTTAAAAAGTTAACGTTTAATATTAACCATGAAAAAAATTATTTTTTACTTATAATTAATTATTAACCAAATTTTAGGTTATTTTCCTCTATTTTTAAATTCAAGAAAAAGTTTTCTTTTTGAAATGGATATTAGTGGGAGATATGTTGAGTGGTTAATTTACAACAAAAATAAAATAAAAGAAAAAAACTTGATTCATATAGAGGCTCCTTATCTTTCACCAATAAGTGTAACTGAACGTAGAAACTTGGTTGACAATGATAAATGTTTGTACACGGTAAATGAAAGAGGACAATTTTTGGCTAAAGTTTATTTAGATGTCAATAAACCAATTTTTCATCTTGCTTATTATGATTATTGTAATGATAATTTAGTAAATGAAAAGGAAATTGAAGTATCATATAAAACGTTCCTTTCGAATAAAGTAAATGAATAGATATTATTTATATAATTAAAATAAATATTAACGAAAAATGATTAATAATAAATACATTTAATAATAAAATAAAATAACATTTCTTTTAGAAAATAAGCAAAAAAGTTGAAAAAGTTTTACAACAACTTAGCGAAAAATTTAACCTAACAAAAATGGAATTTATAACTATTTTAAAAACTCTTTCAAATATTATGAATGACAAGGAATTTTTAAAATATAGAGAAATTACCAACAGCTACATTTATAGAATCGCTAACTGGAATTAAAATAGAAAATTAAATCATCTAGATGTTTTATATTTTTCATAAACGCTTTTTGTCTATTAATAAAGTAACAATATAAAAAGTCTACTATTGGAAAATACGCAATTAATAATTTTAATAATTATATTATGTATAACTAATTATTCTCCTGTAAAAAAGGTAATAATAACACTTTGAATTACAATAAATATCATTTGAACTTTGTCTAACGTTCTCATTAATGTATATAATATCTATGCGTGATGTCTCAACAGTTAGGTCGTATAATTGTATCATACATGTACTAAATAAAACTGTAGCACAGTGGGGTCGTGGCACAGTATGGGACGTAGTATAGTTGGGACAAGTATAGGTGATACGTGATAAACAAAAAGAAAGACGGCGGGCGCATAGTAAATGAAAGTAATAGAGGGAGATTGGTTGGTTTTGTGATAAATAAAAGTAAAGGAGACGGTTGTATAGTATGAAAAAAAAGTAAGAGTGGCTAGAGGTACTGGACAGCGACAATAATAGAATGAAATGGAAAGTGATCTCGGGGTATGTGTGTTTACAGAAGAACGTCTAATATATATGAGTAAAGATGAAATATCAACAAAACATTATTATTTAGCCCCTGCACAAAAGTGTATACACGAATTTATGTGAGTCACGAATATCCCATCTCTTTATACAATAATTTTAGTTAATTTGTTTTCGACAATCTACCTCACTCTAAGTGTTTATTACTAAAAATCCTTCGGTGAAGGTATTGTTATAGATTTATTATATAAATAAATGTTTTCACTATTAGCAATATGTATGTATGCGCGTCTGTAAATGCACTTAAAGTTACGCGATTTTTATTATTATATTAACTCGCGTGTAACCATTTCTCTAGTACAACTCTATATTAAATCTATTCAAAAATGGTAAAAATCCAATTTATTATTCTTTGGGTATTTTATGTAAACCCTTTTTGTATATTTATATGGTATGCTCTTTGACCTTGTATGTAGTGTTTTATCCTAACAAATTTGTAATTAAATATTTTGTAAAACCAATACCAAGATCATGAATAACAATACGGAATTTCGTAATCATATGTTAGAGGAGGAGTTACGGGGAGGGTGTTCAACGCATGCTGCATTTTGCGCACACCCTAATACCCCGTTCGTAGTGGGCGCGGTGCACCGGATTTCGCAGCACTTCTAGAAAAGGAGCACGGGCGGTATCCTCCATCAAAAGTAGCATGCGCGGAAGGAGGTTCAAAGTAAGGTCAAACGTGCCCACTAACTGTCCAACTAGACGGCGGACTTCCTCGACGGTTAAGGGAGGTGGGTGAGTTTTCAGGTGTGATATTGTTGATCATGCTAAAAAATAACAAAAAAAATGTTGAATTAGTTTTGTTATAAGCTCTATGGAGCTTATAGCAGAAGAAGCGTTAAGATGGCGGCGACAATGCAGACATAGAGAGAAGACTGACAACAACTCGATATAACACAACGATAACATGAATATTCACAACAATCTTGACAGCATATTCGATCAATGTGTATCCAACAATTATAATTTCAAAAACCATATTCTGGTTGATAAAAATATCTTGTAAAAGAGTGTATTTATTCATAAGTAACAACATTTTTTTTTTGAAAATTATTACATCAAAACTTCTAATTTTTATACATATTTGTTACAGAAGTAACAAAACAATAACTACTTTATTATTTTTTATAGTTTCTCCGTAAAAATTACAATATTAAATTATTCAATATCAATTAAAAACTAAATTTAATTATTATAAGTATTTATTCATATATTATAATTATAAATCAAAAAACTACTATTTAGGATATAATTAAGAAGATAGGAGTTCATGTTGCTTTTGGAATAATCCACCAATTTTTAATATTAAAAAGCTATAATATCATTTTTACCCTGAGATGTCAAGAGGACTATCCAAATGTATACTAATTTTTATACTTGGGTTCAACAATGGTCATGGGAGAATGGTGTGGAACTAAAAAAATATTTAAAATTCTCCATCCATTAAATATTTGTACTCAAATACAGATACTTTATATAAGTGATAAAATCCTTACAAATACTTTCAGCCATCTGTCATCTACATGTAACAGTTGCAAAATTAGACATTTTGAGTTACAAAAATTTAAATACATAGATTGGGAACATAGACGTCTGCAGTATGGCGAAAAGGAGTCAGTTTCATCCTTGATTTTTTGCTTGATCAATTTTTATAATCGTTGTATAATAAAATTTTGCAACATTTAATTAAAATTAAAATATAAAAAAAAAATAATCTTATTCAATTATATTATGAACACCAGAATTAAGAGCATTGTTTTTTAAAGATTAATTAAATGTAAGTTTGGTTTTAAATTAAATTTATAGAGACACTTAATTTTATGAATAATACATAACACCGAGGATTGAAATCGATATTTACAGTTTAATTTTGATTGCGCTTATCGATATTTCATTTTACCAAATTCAAATTTGTCTATTGATACTACAAAGAAGTCCATTGTGGGACTAACTCTATATTTTCTATATAATGCTTCCAAATTCATTTAATAGTGGACGTTAGAAAAGAGGATACAATCCAGACCTAATCTTTGTAAGTAGTAATATAAACCAGCAATGTATGTACTCCTATACCAATAACACAACACAGAGCATTTTAAAACTACAAATAAACTAAGTTAGTAGGTCTGAAACGATACAATTCAATAAATTACAAAAAAGCTAACTGGGAAAAATACAGAGAAGCTATTAATATAGAAATCCAGAACCTATAACCAACACCAAAAAACTACAAAATATTTGCAAATGAAGTAAGGATAATATTTAGTCAACACAAACGAGGCCTAAGTAAAGAGACTGGAAAGCTGATAGAAATATATCAAGACATATTTAAAAACGATTCATTTAGCGGCGACACCATTGCAGCAAGAGAAAATCTTATTAATCAGCTAGGAGATGACAAAAACAAAAAGCGGCATGATCTCAATGAAAATTCTGATATGACTAAAAACAGCAAGAAAGCCTGACGCCTAATAAAAAAACTTAGTGGAGATCCAACTGTACATAGAACTTGTATAAATGTCGCTGCTAATCAAATAGCCTCAGAGTTACTTAAAAAATGGAAAACCCAGAGGGATAAATCAAGAGAAGAAAAATATTAAGAGACAAAAACAATGAATGTCACATCTTCCACCATGACTTTCAAATAAATGAACTCATCACCAGCCTGAAAAAATGAAGAATGGGAAAGCGGTTGGGTACGACGAAATTACAATAGAACAAATTAAAAACTTCAGATCAAGAGTGAGACGATGGTTACTTCAACTATGAAATATATATATATCTTCATAGGAATTGTGCACCGAAAAGCTGGAGAAAGTCTAAAGTAATAGCCCTTCCCAAACCAGGAAAAGACCTAAGTGATCCAAAAAGTTATCGACCCATATCATTGTTATGCCACACCTACAAACTATATGAGAGAATGGCCATGAACCGTATTAAAATTCAAATAGACAATTTGCTGATACGGGAGCAAGCTGGCTTTAAACCAGGCAAGGCCTGTACAGGCCAGGTACTCAACATAAAAAGGACAGCTTCGAAAATAAAAAGATAATGGGAACAGTTTACGTCGACCTTACATCATCGATTTACGGTAAAGCTAAATGATAAATGGAGTAAATAGAGAACCCGAAAAAATGGCGTGCTAGCACCAATGCTCTTTAACTTATATACAAATGACCAGCCAACTCTAAGAGACACGAAACATTTTATATATGCAGACGATCTAGCAATTACGGTTTATGATACAACCTTCGATAATCTAGAAAAAAAATTAACAAATGCACTAAAAGTCATGACCAATTATTATGACAATAATCAACTAAAATCAAACCCAGGTATGTTTCCTCCACCTACGAAAACTGTGACGCCAAGAAACGCATTAATATAGAATGGTTAGGAAAAATATTCCAAAACACTGACTAGGCGTCACCCTAGATAGGACCTTGACATTTAAGGAGCACTGTTCCAAAACTAAAATGAAAGTGTATGCAAGGAACAACTTACTTAGAGAACTCGCTGGAAGCCAATGAGGAGCTCGACCTCACACCATGTGTACAACCGATATAGCCCTCTATTTCTCAACTGGAGAATATGCGTGTCCAGTGTGGAGCCAATCCAAACACACCAAACATGTATCTGTAGCTTTGAACGATACTTGCAGAATCATAACGGGATGTCTTAGGCCAACACCTACATACAAGTTATACCTTCTAGCAATCATAGCTCCATCTGAAATTAGAAGGCAAGCAACCACCGATAAAGAAAAAACCAAACAGATAAATGATGAAAGACATCCTATATTCGAACATGAAATCACGAGCACAAGACTTAAATCCCGAAAAAGTTTCATACAAACAGCAAAATAACTGCACGAACCCCCACAAAAAGTTAGACTGCAAAGGTGGCAAGATGAGCTACAACTAAAAGAACTGATTCAGACTATACAACAACTTCCTTTGGGTGTACATCTTCCATGGCGACTATGGAAAACTCTTAATAGATTAAAAGCCGGGGACTAAAGCTAACATGATAAAATGGGGCTTTAGTGGAGAAGATGACACATTTGAATGTGGAGTACGACAAACTGATGAACACCTTTTGTCATGTACCATGAGTCCAGCACAAAGCACCAAAGAAGATCTGATTTTGACAAACACAAATTTTCTAGAAGTAGCTGCTTATTGGTTGCAATACAACATATAGAACGTTCCAAGAAATGTGATTTTATTAGACGTACCAGTTTATTTATTTATTTTATTATCTAAGTATTTTAGCTGCATTTTATTTTTTTTGAATTATCAATATAATTGTTATTGGCATTTTTTATAATCAGATACAAGAAGAAGTTACACTCTCGCCTGGTATAACTTTACGATCTTTTACTCGCTATACGCTCTCTCTTCCACACTAAATAAAAATGAAATTTTTTGGTTACACATATTTCTAGAATTATTAGCTATGTAATTTTTTTTAAGTTACTACCCTTAAGTATTTAATATTAATCTCAGTACATAAAAATATTACAACAAGAATAATTAGAGAAAAAAAGTTTTTTTTAATAATAAATAAAACGTGCGTCAATAAAAGTGAGATATTATGCAGACATCAAATATTTTAAAACACCTGCTTATACATTTAGTAAATTAATTTTTGGATAGTACTTTTCTGTAAATGAAAAATACTATAATAAAAGAATAATATATTATTATATATTTAAAATAATGAAGAAATAAATTTTATTTCTTTTGCAACAAACTTTGAAACCAAATTCAGACGTAGTTATAATAGGACAGCTCAAAAATAATAACGTTTAATCTTTAGGTTTATCATGGTGAAAATATTTCTTTGTTTAAGTAAAATTTACAATTTTTTTAATAATATATAATATTTACATGTATATATATACATTATATATAATGAGTTATATTTTAGTAATTTGTCAGTAAGTATTTTTTTTTAATAGTGTTACATAAATACCATAATTTAGAAAAACATGTTAAAATAAATTTGATGCTTATTTTTTTAATTATTCAATAATTTTAAAGTAAATTTCCTAGAAAAACAATATATGCCTATCTGAAATTAATGTTTGATAAAAATATTTTTAAAGGAATGTAAACGCATATTTTTTAAAGTAGATCATACAAGAACAGCAAATAAGATTATTATTTTAGATAATTAAAATTTGTTTACATATTATAATATAATTAACATGACATATTCGTTGTATTTTAATATTGTTGATGGTATTTATTTGAAAAATATATTATTGATAAAATAATTTCTAGAAAANCCTACATAAAAAAGATTTATATTGATATGTTCATTTTTGAAAAAGTTATGGCACTTTAAAGTAAAAAAAATTGAAAAAATTTCGAAAATTAGCGATTTTTAAATTTGTAATTTTTTTGGAGGTTTCCCTCATTTACGGGGAACGAGGGCCTTTTTTTCAATTTTTGAGGGTAATGTCTTCGANAAAACGTTGTAGGATCGTTGAATAGATGTTTTTCATTCCAGATAATATGTCAAACGTCGTTGGATCAGTACTTTTTGGCAAAGATGAAATTATACTATTTTTCCAATTTTTTTTATAAAGACTTGAGGAATTATCTATAAACATGTTAACAATATTATTACCACCATCACTGCAAGTATTATTATATTGCACGGACCTAAATAGAAAAAAAGACTTTTGTTTATTTCCAAATAGTCGATGGATTTTGACTAATGGAATTTTAAATGGAGGTTAAATGAAATAAGTAATATAAATTAGAACGAGATTTGCATTGTCCTCTTGAATTCGATAAATCATCAAACTCTATCGTTAAACATGTAAATTTAAATTTTTTACTGGCAATTTTTTTTCTTAAAAGTAAGGTTATTAAATCAAAAAAAAAACTATTTAGGAAATATAGGATGAGATGTAACGTGAGTTAGGAAAAACTTACCAATGGCATCAATAAACTGTGTCATAAAATATTTTAACTGCTTGTTTGGCGGTCACATTTATGAAACATGTATATCCAGTCAAAATAGCCTAAATATAAATTTAATTGTAATAATTATCATTATTAAAATTATAATTTACAACCGGAAATAAAAGAAGTTTGAAATTTAAGGAAGGGACTGTAATGACAATTGGAATAAATTTTAAGTAAAAGACTATGAGATAGGGATACATATAAGGTATCTATGTCAGAGAACACTAAATCTAATATATTATTACTTGGATTATAATTATTATTGAATTAAGTAACATTATGGTAAGTAATAGAAGAAGAAAAATCAGATTCAATAATCAATAATTTAAAAAAATAATAATAAAACTGATTCCTTCATTAGGTATAAGGGATAAAATAAAAACCCAGCACAGGGGGGTCGCGGCACAGAGGTGACGTGGCATAGTTGGATCAAGTATAATGATATCTGACAATGATTAAAATCACTATAAAAAAAAAACGCATCGATGCAAATCTTTAGATAGTGTTTAATTTTAAAAAATTGGTGGATTATTCCAAAAGCTTCATAAACTGCTAGTTCCTTATTAATATCCTGATTAAGACAAAGTATGTCGAATAAAAAAGAGATTATTAGAAAATAGTATTTCCCATAAAAAAATTATATTGATCAATACACTTTTCAATAAGTTATAGCATTATAATGTTAAAAATGTAAAAAATAAAATTGAGAATTTTCACACAATAATAGCATTTGGTAGCCATTTTCACCTTGAAGATAAAATAAAGTCCGAAATTTTTTTTTACCATTATAAAGTATATTACATTAGCTTTAATTTAAGATATATATAAAAGTGTCAGACCTTCCGGAACACTTTCAAAAGTTACGTTGAAAAAGTTCTACTTTCTATATGCATTTTTATGTTTTGAATCCCCCCTGTATTTAGGGAAATGGTCCGATTTAAAAAAACAGTATGTCGAATGAAAGATCTATATAAATACTACTTCTCATAAAAAAATTGTAATGATTCATACATTTTTCAAAAAGTTATAGCATAATAAAGTTAAAAATGGAAAATACAAAATCGAAAATTTTCACACAAAAATAGCATTCGGTAGCCATTTTCACCATGAAGATAAGATAAAGTCCGAAATTTTTTTTTTTCATGATAAAGCATATTACATTAGCTTTAATTTAAGATATATATAAAAGTGTCAGACCTTCCGGAACATTTTCAAAATTTAAGTTAAAAAAATTAATTTTTTGTGAAAAAGTTGTCATTTTAAATCCCCCCTTGTGGGCAGGTTAAGGGTTAAATTTATGAAAAAAATATACCAAATGAAAGGTAATGATATTATGCATCTATATAAAAAAGAATTATATTGATATGTTTATTTTTGAAAAAGTTATGGCACTTTTAAGTAAAAAAAATTGAAAAAATTTCGAAAATTAGCGATTTTTAAATTTGTAATTTTTTTGGAGGTTTCCCCCTTTTACGGGGAACGAGGGAATTTTTTTCAATTTTTAAGGGTAATGTCTTCGACTAGATACGATTTGTGATCTTTTGACGTATCATTGAAAGAAATCGGTTCGGTGAGAGCTGAGAAAAAGTGGTAACAGACAAAAAAAAAAAAAAAACACATCTTAGTAAAACCAATACCTTCTCAGCTTCGCATCGAAGCTAAAATAATAACTAATAATTGATAAATTAAGAAAAGCTTATGAAACTAAAAAATACCAAAAACTATTTTCTTCAAATAATTATAGTTTTAAAAGAAATCATTTGCTAACATTAAAGGAGTCACTGTTTAGAAATATTGACCAATCACAATCTAAAATAAATGTATATGTTACCTATAATTTTATTAATATGTAAATTATACTCATAATTGTCGTTAACTTTTTTAAAAAATAAAAATATCTGAGGCACTTGAATACAAGAGTACAAATGTATAGTTAAACTTTAATAATTCACTAAGAATTTTAATAACGAAATTAAAAAAAAAATATGACAAAACTTTTATTTTTTAAATAGCTACGAATTTATTTGATGATTTCTTTGACTCAGAGTGGCCTGCTGATCATCCGCTGCCTTTACCAAAATGGGGTATCTCAAACCCATATTTTGTGATCAATTCTATAGAGGTATACGAAGAGATAGTAAAAAACTTCGAATATGAATTACAAATGTTGTTGAAAACAATCAATTATGATTCAGTAACTAATTTTATCGAGTAAAGTTTTTTTATTGAAAGGTTGTATATGTTAAATTTTAAAATGTTTAGAAATAACTTTTTCACTGTATAGATTATATGATCAGTATAAAAAGAACAATCATCTGTCATTTGAAGATTTTTTCAGAAAATACATACCAACTCTAAATAAAAATGCAAACAATTGTGTTGGACTTGCATTATTATTGATTGAAAAATTAAAACAATTTGATGATCGCTATTCAGGAATTAAAAATTGTTTTTACTTGGTTTCATGTGAAATAAATTTACAAGTATGATGTATCTACAATGTGATTAATTGGAATAATAATTTCATACTATTGTAAAATATTAATTTTTTTATAAAAAATGAAATTTTATTTATTGTTTTGAGTTATATAAAATATCAAGTTTATTGAAAAAAAAAAAAAAATTATATCTATGAGTAAATTTGTAACATTAATTTTTTAGTATTAGTGTTTAGAAATTTAGAAAATATGAGGTTACAGGGTAATGTTAACGATACTTAATTTTAACATAGATCAGTGTGTAACTAAGTTATGCACTAAATATATCTACAAATTATATTAATTTATTATTTTTTTAGTCTTTTCAAAAATAATTCTTAAAATATTTTAAATTAATAAATTAGCTAAACCACTATTGGAAGAATTCAACGTAATATTGAAGATGATTCTATAAATCAAAAAAATCACATAATTTTTATTTTAGGACTATTTCGGACATAAAAAAAACATGATTTTTCGAAATACATTACTTTGTCCACTGTATATTTTATGAGTTTTAATAAATAAATTATGCTTCTATGATCGCTAAATAAATATTATTGGAAAATTTTTCTAGACTTTGATAAAACTGTTCTTATTCATTTTAACTACAAACTAACAAATATCATTTAAATTTTTTGTGTCAGCCAAAATGTCACAAAAAATTAATATAGGGACATTTATTTTTAGAGCTTTGATAAATATGAGAATACTGAATACCCATGTCCATGGTTAAGTGTTAATGAACATATTATGGTCGCATTAAAAATTGAAATAGATGGTCGAGTTGGAGTTTTACTTTTAGACCCTGGTTATCCGTTAGACAGAGTTATAACAGTTATGAATGATCAAGAATACCCAAATACAGGTATATATTAAAATCTCTTTATAAAAGTTTGGTTGGGTAATAAAATGAACTCGCAGTATTTTTGAGACTATATTAAATTTAGTCTCGTACCGTTTAATCTGTTCTTGTAATTTAAAAAATATCTTATTATTTGATTAATTTTAATTTTTTAAACATTTTGTTTTTATTATTTTATCTATAATTTAAGCCTTATTTCCAACACGTTGGTTTGAACCTCGTACTAAATCAGTTTTACCAACACAACAACCGTACATCGCATATGTACATTGATAAAAAGGACAATTTAAACCAATTCAAAAATTAATAGTTATTTTACTTAATTTATAGCGAGTAATATATTGAAAATAAGTTTAACTTTATATTCAATGTAAGATAAAATTAATATATGTTTTATGAAAATTAGTGTACTTCCCTTGTAAGGTATTTTAAAATAAAAAAATCAGTTTAAAGATAAAATAAAGATTATCGAATAAAAAAAATAAGCATTTCAGAAACATTTTTAAATGTACGTTGAAAAAGTTTTCATTTTGAATACCCTCCAATAGGCAGATTAGGAGTCAGATTTTCAAAAAGTATATATCTAATGTATTTTTTTTTCTATTTACTCATTTTTTTTTAAAAGCTATGGCACTTTTAAATAAAAAACAAACGGTAGCACAGTGGGGTCGAGGCACAGTATAGACGTGGCATAGATGAGATAAGTATAGATGATATCTGACAGTGATTAAAATCACTATCATAAGAAACGCTTCGATGCAAATCTGTAGATAGTGTTTCCTTTAGAGAAATTGGTGAAATATTTTAAAAGCAACATGAACTCTTATTTCTTTAATTATATCCTGATTAGTAGTTCTTTGATTTTAAAATATAATATATGAATAAATACTAATTATAGTTTTTAAATTTAGTATGAAATTGTGAGGCCAGCTATGATGTATGGTTAATAGTGTTGGGCGGTTGATAAGAAAGTAGAGCAGAGAATAAGTGTAGCAGAGATGAGAATGCTTAGTTGGATGAGTGGAGTGACTAGAGAAGATAGGATAAGGAACGAGCATATAAGAGGAAGTATAGGTGTTGCGTCAATCGTGGATAAGATGACAGAAAATAGACTTAGATTGTTTAGTCATGGTATGAGGAAAGAAGAATCGAAAGCTGTAAGAACAGTTATAGAAATGAATGTTGAAGGAAGAAGAGATAGAGGAAGACCAAAAAAGAGATGGAGGGATGCTATTGAATGCGATTTGAGGACAGCTGATGTGAGCGTAGAAGATGTGGGAGATCGTGTCAAGTGGAATCTTAGGATAAGGGTGCCCGACCCCAAGTAGTTGGGATTAAGGCAAAGAAAAAGAAAAATATTACCAGATATTCCGGTGGCAATTGACATAATATGATTGTTATTTCGGAATGTACAATTTAGCGTTTAGTTGGGTTTAAATAATATAGCGTCAAATCAATTACCTACTCTATCGGTTGTATCTCAATATACACTACACTTTAATGATACAATAAATAAATAAACTCACACATACACACATATGCATTTATAACATTGTGTCTAATGTAAGTATAACATGATAAAAAGTAACCGTAAAATGAAAAAAATGGAATATAAATTTTATTACTCATATTAAATGTAATGTAACTCGAAAAATATTTGTTTAAATGAAAAAATATAAGATTATATTTTTATTTATAATTGTCTTTTAAACAACTTTTGTGCGAAACTTTTTTTTGTAAGTTAAATATTTTTTTTTGAGAAAATTAAGAAAGCTCATATTTTTGAACTTTTGCGAGGATTTAAAAAAAAAGCTCAATTCCAATCTTGAGGACTATTAGTATGTCATTATACATATTTTAATTCAACTTTTAAAAAAACAAAATTTTTTCCGCAATTTTTCCTTTGTTGACTGGCCTAGATGTCAATTTTAAACTTGTAATTGAGCTAAAAGTTATGGTAATATATTCAATTTATTTTACTATAAACTTTCATAAATCTTTATCAAAAATTTTTCATCAACTTTAAAGAACCAAAAAAATAGGTTAAAATTGAAAATTTGGACTGATTATTTTTAACATATTAAAAATCAAATCAGTAATAATTTGAAAACAAATTTTTTTTTCTTTTAATTATTATTTTATATATATAATTAGTAATAATATAAAAAATTAGAAGTGATAGAAATAGTCTACTTGCAGATTTGAAAACAACGCGAAAAGTTGATTTAGAAAAGTATATTTTTGCTTCTGATGAAAGTTCCTTGTAGTCCAGTGCATTTTTTTATAGTAACAAACAGTTTTTATTGAAAATTATTGTATCAAGCCCTTTAAATTTTTATACACGTAAAAGTAAAGCAAAATATAACTTCTTTATTATTTTTATAATTTCTCCGTTTAAATTACAATATTAAATATCAATTTCATACTAAATTTAATAATTATAATTAGTATATATTCAAATATTATATTTTAAAATCAAAGAACTACTAATCATGATATAATTAAAGAAATAAGAGTTGATGTTGCTTTTGGAATAATCCACCAATTGCCTAATTAAAACAAAAAAAAAAAAAGTTTGTTGGGAATTTTTTCTGCTATTCTGCAAAATTACTCCTTCGTTGACTAGAATGAATCATTAAATAGAAAATTTTATGAGAATTAAAACAATGTTATTTTTAAGATTAATATGCAGTCAGAAAGTTTTATAATTATTATTTATTGTAAATTTATCAGAAAAACTCATTATTTTTTGCATTTTTATCGTAATAGAACACTTAAATAGAAATCATAGTAATCATTTCTAAGTAATTTTTGATATTTAAAAAGATTCTACTATTGAAATATCCAGAACTGAATTAATTTTAATGATTTACTTTAACTAAAAAAAAAAAAGTTAATATTTTGAATCCCTCTTGTGGGCAGGTAAAGGGTTAGATTTATAAAAAAAACCAAATGATAGATAAAGACATGCATCTAAATAAAAAAAAATATACTGATTTGGTCATTTTTGATAAAGTTATAACAATTAACAAAGTTATAAGTTTTATACACTGGACTACAAGGAACTTCCATCAGAAACAAAAATATACTATTCTAAATCAACTTTTCGCGATGTTTTAAAATGTGCAATTAGACTTTTTCTATAACTTCTAAGTTTTAATATTATTAAAAAATAGTTTTTACATATAAAAAAAAATAATTAAGAACAAAAAAAATTGTTTTAAATTAATACTGATTTGATATAATATTTAATATTAATTTGATTATTAATAAGTTAAAAATAAGGAAAATGACATATTTAACCAATTTTGTTAATCGTTTAAAGTTGATTGTTGTAAATGTTTATAAAAAAAAAAAAAAATTTATTTTACCATAACTTTTAGCTCAATTGGTAAGTTTGACATTGACATAATTAAATAGAAAATTTTATGACAATTAAAAAAATTGTATCGTTAAGATCAATATGCAGTCAGAAAGTTTTATAATTACTATTTATTGTAAATTTATCAGAAAAGCTCAATATTTTTTTGCATTTTTATGGTAATAGATAACTTAAATAGAAGTAATAGTAATAATTTCCTAGGAACTTTTGTTGTTTGTTGAAAAGATTCTATAATTGAAATATTGAGAACTTAATTAATTTTAATGATTTACTTTAACTAAATGTACCAATCAAAACAAAGTTGTTAAAAAGATTTACTCAATTGAGTTTATTATAAAATTTGATTATATTTGTAAAAATCAATTGTTAATTCAGGAGAAAAAACAATCATTTTTTTTAGAAATGATTTATATAGCAACACGTTAGAAAAAAATTTGAATATTATAGTCTAATAGTAGCACACACAAACAGAGTAATAAAATTATTAAATTACAAAGTAAAATGATTTAATTTTGTAGTTGAAACCTATCATATCAAACTTCATTCGTTAATAAATATTTTGAAAACATTAGAAATTAATGATTTTAATTGTCTTTATGGAGACGATGTAATAACTAACTGTTTAATTGATAAATTAGAATTTTTTTTTCAATTTTTGAGAGTAATATCTTCAACTAGATACGAATTGTAGTAATTTGACGTATTGTTGAAAAAAGTAGGTCAAGTTAGAGCAGAGAAAATAAATGATAGTCACAAAAAAATATCTTCTCGGCTTTGCATCGAAGCGAAAACTTAAAATATAGTAAAATAATTTTAATACGAATAAGAAATTTCTTCTTGCAAGGGGCGACTAAAGTGATGGGATCCTTGATCTTTATTGAAGTTATTGAATCTAAATGTGATAAAAATCAAACGAGTTAAAATTTATACTAACTTAAAAAGAATTAAGAAAAAATGCAAAAAATTCATTGCCATATGCGGGTTGGAACCTCGTACCCCAAGCGTGTAAAACATAAATTTTACCAACTCGGCAACCGTACGTTGCTTCCGGCGGTTGAAAAATTGGCTATTTAAGCTAGTTCAAATTTCAAAGTTATTTTTCTCGACTTAAAAGAAACAAACATATTTAAATAAGTTTAACTATCTATACTATATCAATTTTAATTTATATAATATTTATGAAAATCTGTACTCCCCTTGTCAGGTATTTTAAAATAAAATAAAATACAAAACCCAGAATTTTAACACAAAAATAGCATATTTTTGCATACGGTAGTCATTTTTACCATGAAGACAAATCCAGAGGTCAAATTTTTTTTTTTCACATTAAAGTATATTACATAAGCTTTAATTTAAGATATATTTAAAAGTGTCAGTATTTCCGGAATACTTTCAAAAATTAAATTGAAAATATCGTAGTAACAATACGCATGTTTAAAGTTTTGACCCCCCTTGTTAAAGGGGTATGATCCGATTTACAAAAAAAGCGTGCCAGATGAAAGGGGTATATAAATATTTATTATAAAAAAATAATAATATTGATCCATACATTTTTCCAAAAGTTATATAAAATATAAATTAAATAATATAACATATAAAATCGAGATTTTTTTCACGGAAATCGTACGTTTTTCTTTAACTTTGATGTCCGTTTTCACCACGAAGACAAGTCCAGAGGTCAAATTTTTTTTTTTCAAATTAAAGTATATTACATAAGCTTTAATTTAAGATATATTTAAAAGTGTCAGTATTTCCGGAATACTTTCAAAAATTAAATTGAAAATATCTTAGTAACAATACGCATGTTTAAAGTTTTGACCCCCCTTGTTAAAGGGGTATGATCCGATTTACAAAAAAAGCGTGCCAGATGAAAGGGGTATATAAATATTTATTATAAAAAAATAATAATATTGATCCATACATTTTTCCAAAAGTTATATAAAATATAAATTAAATAATATAACATATAAAATCGAGATTTTTTTCACGGAAATCGTACGTTTTTCTTTAACTTTGATGTCCGTTTTCACCACGAAGACAAGTCCAGAGGTCAAATTTTTTTTTTTCAAATTAAAGTATATTACATAAGCTTTAATTTAAGATATATATAAAAGTGTCAGTCTTTCCGGAACATTTTCAAAAGTTAAGTTGAAAAAGTTCTACTTTCTATACGCATTTTAAAAGGTTTGCACCCCCCCTGTATAAAGGGAAATGGTCCGATTTTAAAAAAAAGTATGTCGAATGAAAGAAGTATATATAAAGTATTTATCATTAAAGAATAAAGTTGATTCATGCATTTTTTAAAAAGTTATAGCAACATAATGTTAAAAAATGTAAAATATAATATCAAGAATTTTTTCACAAAAATAGCATATTTTTGCATACGGTAGTCATTTTCACCATGAAGACAAGTCCAGAGGTCAAATTTTTTTTTTTCAAATTAAAGTATATTACATTAGCTTTAATTTAAGGTATATATAAAATTGTCAGTCTTTCCGGAACATTTTCAAAAGTTAAGTTGAAAAAGTTAATTTTTTGTAAAAAAGTTACCATTTTGAAACCCCATCCTTTGGGCTGTTAAAGGGTCAAATGTTCACAAAAATATATAAAATGATAGGTAATTATCTAAGGTATCTATAAAAAAAAAAATTATATTGATTCGGTCATTTTTAAAAAAGTTATGGCAATTTTAAGTAAAAAAAATTGAAAAAATATCGAAAATTAGCGATTTTTAAATTTGTAATTTTTTGGGGGATTTCCCCCGTTTACGGGGAACGAGGGAATTTTTTTCAATTTTTGAGGGTAATGTCTTCGACTAGATACGATTTGTGATCTTTTGACATATTGTTCATCAAAATCGGTCCAGCGAGAGCTGAGATTGAGCGTTCACAGACACAAAAAAAAAAAAAAATAAATAAAAAAAAAAACACATCATAGTAAAATTAATACCTTCTCAGCTTCGCATCGAAGCTAAAAAATTAAAAACTACTAATTTTAAAAGTTGTAATTTTTTGGGGTTTCCCATTAAAAAGGAACGAGAGAATTTTTGTAAATCTTTGAGGTTAATGTTTTCAACTAGATACTATTTTTGATCTTTTGATGTCTCCTTGAACGAAATCGGTGAAGTGAGTTCTGAGTAAAAGTGGTGGCAGACATGAAAAAACACATTATACTAACATTAATTACCTTCTTGGCTTCGCATCAAAGTTAAAAGGAGGAAAGAAAATATAAACTTTTTTAAACAAAATTTGTTTTTTTGATTATATTGTAAATTTTATATTAATTATAGGAATTAACTAGCATTTATTTAAAATTTAAAGATAACTGAATTCTATGAAGGGTCATATTAATAATATAATTATACTGTTTACTAAAAAATAGTAATTATAAAATTTTAAAAGTGAAAAATTTTATCTATAGCACTCATTTATTCATTTTTTTTAAATTTTAGGTCATTTTTTATCGTCAACGAACCCGGAGGAGGTTTATTTAATAGAAATGATTATGCAAGGAAAATATTTGCAGTGGTCAATTTATGATGAATCAAATTTAAAAGAAACCAATCTTATTTACATAGGGGCTCCTTATCTTTCACCAATTAGTGTAACTGAACGGAGAAATCTAGTATTCACTTACCGATTTTTCTTCTCACTTAGTGAAAAAGGAGAAAATTTGAGTGGTATTTTTGCTAAAATCGATGAACATATATTGTGTTTATACTATATTGATGAAGATTATCCAAAAGAAAAACAGATAATTAAATTAACACCCGAGTTATTTAGCTCTGTGAATGTAATTATGCTACTTTATATCTTGATACGCCTTTACAATACTAAAAGTATTTTTTTTTATACATTTAATTCAAATTTACATAAATATACAGAGTGATTCATTAAGGATAAGACATTCATATTACTATATCGAAAACTATTGAAGAATTTAAAATATATAGTAAAATAATATTTCGAGTGTCTTTTTCTAAAATACCTAAATATTTTTCAATATCAGCAAAAATTTTTTTTTCAATATAATATTATACATATTATTTTCTTTATACATAATAAATTTGATTTAATTTTTATTATATAACTTGCAAATTCACTCACTATAGAATATACGTAACAAAATATCAGTATAAAATATTGAAAATATTTTATACACCACATTATTTTGTTTTAAGTAACTATTTAAAAATAGACACCTAAATCTATCATTTATTAAAATATAATATGTTGATTTTATCGGTAAATTATTTTTTGTAATTTAAAAATAAAATACAAAATTGCTTGTATTTCTACTATTAATTTTTTAAATTGTTTTTCTCTTTCAAAAATTTGATATTTTATTAAAATATCCACAGATATTAATTAGGTCTTTTTTTTAGCAACTTAACTCGGATATTAAAAAAACATTGGACCGAATTTCCCATCATCTTAAAATATCAAGTAAAGAGTTATGGAACATTTTAACTAAACTCAATCACATTATTGAAGACGAACAATTTTTAGATAGTTTGTGTAAAATTAATAATGATATTCAAAATCTTAATAGTGGTAAATAAAAAAAAACAGGTATCAATCAAGTGTAATTTATTTTATTAGGACTCTTTGTAGAGTACAAAATATAAGCTCATAACTGATCACGTGGATACATTCCTAAACATTTTAAAGAACTATAAATGTATAAACATATGCATAGGTCTCTAGAGCTCATCAAATATTTATAAAAAAAAGTCAAGTTTCAATAGTAAAATAAAATTTAGAAAAAGTTATTAATAGCACATACTGTTTTCCTAGCCTTCCTTAAATTCGGATGATTTTTTTATTTGTATAAAATTTACTTTATTCTGATTGACTTTATGCAGAGTGATTCATTAAGGATAAGACACTCATCATCAAAAAAATTTTTACATATTTTTAATTTTTGCAAAGAAAGATAATGTTCGAATAAGTGAACTACAATAATATTCAATTAAATCATTTTTTTTCATCCCTTCAGAAATAAAAAGATTAAAAATTGATTTTCTTTAACGACAACCCGTACTTTTAGTTTAATGAAACAATAAAAACCCAAAAATTACAATCAATTTTGTTTTTATAACTTTTTTTATTTATTCAACTGTTTACGTTTAAAATTTTTAAAGATTTGGATATCGCCTTCACATGATTCATTAGGGAAAATGTAAATTGTATACCACTTAAGTCAGACAGCAATATCAGGTTCATCAAACTCGTTAAATCACTGTATATCGATGGAACATAAGGAACGATATATACCAATCACACGATTATGATAACAGCAGTAGTAAGCTTACTGCCACTAGGCTCATCGGATATTTTTCTTGGAAAGTCTAATACCTTTTTAATAGATTGTCAATAAAAGCTACAAAAATTCTCACTAAAAATATTTATAACGAACAATTAAATCTTTTTTGGTATTACATGTTTTTTGTAATAGTGGGAGTTAAATGGGGATACTTACCTCTCCTCTTATTTGACTTAACTTTTTAACTTACAATATACGAGATGTGTAAATAAAGTAATGAGACTGACAGCGTAGCTTGTAAATTGGTAGTATTAATAGTTTTCCGTATTAAAAATTTTATAGATAAACATGTAATGTGCCTTCATTACGAATTTGAAATCCACAGTGTCATATATTGGTCTATTGGAAATTATTTTGTAAAACGATTTTTTTTTTTAGTACATTCTTATGAGTGACATCAATTTTAAGCAACGATGTGCTGCTCGATTTTGTTTTAAACTTGGACACAGTGCGACAGAAACTTTTTAAAAGTTTCAACAAGTATAATGGAGAAAGTGTGCTTTCAAGGGCCCAGATTTTAGGTGGTTTAAGTCATTATCAAAAGGCATAGAGTTGATTAAAAACAAACTTTGCAATAGAAGACCTTCCATTGAAAATAAATAAAGAAAACATCATCAGAGTTCAGGATCTTGACCGATTGACGGTCATAATAACTGGAAAACAGTTTGCATTAACTCACATCACCGTTCATAAAATTTGATTTTCCATTGATTTATAGATGAAAAAAATCTGCACAAAAATGGTTCCAAAAATTCTGTCACAAGACCAAAAGAATAACAGGACTAGTATCTTGTTTTTTAAGAGTAGATTGAAAATGAAAATTCTTTAATAGAATGTGTCATTACTGGTGACGAGTCTTGGATTTTTGATTACGACCCGGAAACAAAGCGCCAGAGCCAATAATAGCATACATCAGCTTCATTGAGGCACAAAAAAATGAAGATTTAGCCAGTCAAAAATCAAAACCATGCTGATTTGCTTCTTGCGCCTTCTCACATGGTCATTTAAATGTACCAGTTTTTAGCAACCAAAAATATTTCTGTGGTCATTTTTGTTTTACTAAATGGGAACACATATTTTGAATTTAATAAAATGTTTGAATTTTTAATTTAATAGTAAATGGCATTTGAATTTTTAATATAACTTTATTCGTTTATTAGATATAAACATTTAAAGTTTCAAATTTTTGAGTTAATATACATGTATAATACACAAGGGATTACAAATATAGGTAGCTAATTGGTTTTTTATGACATCAATATTCGCAGGTACACAGCATTGTCATTATCAATGGTAGTATGACACATTGTTATGAGTTCATAAATACACTATCTGACAATATAAAAAGTATATCTATTGATAGTCATAATTGATGATAAACAATTAGTGACTCATTTAGGCCGTACTCATTTTGGAAAATGCGAGTTATGAATTCAAAATAACAATCAGCAATTATTATTCATAAAGCATCGACGACTATACTGCCTTCTATAGGAAACACAAAAAATTACAGAATTTTCATTGATCGATTGCTGGTAATCGTGCATACTTACTGATAATAGCTTTTACTTGACCGACTCTGTTATATTTTTTTAATGCCTTAGATATTTCTCTTTTATTAGATACATATATTTAAGATCGTATATTTTTTTTGAAAAACTGATACTTTACCTATAATAAGGCGTCAAACATCAAACATATTTTTAAATTATTTTATTACAACAATACAACTTTAAGTATTCATTGTAAGCTTTTCTTATAAGGTAGCAGCTACCTTATAAGAAAAGACTAACTACCTGGTAGCTAGTCTCATTGCTAATGTCTTTATTTTAAAAAACATAACGCCGTCAGAAAAAACTAAATCTAACAAGCATAGTTTGATTAAATTATTAAGTAGCTAGTTTCGTAGTTAATGTCTATGTTTCAACAAACATCACTTCAACGGACAGCACAAACAAACTTACGGTGATAATTTTAGTGTTGAATTTTTGCCTAGGTGATTATGATACCACNCTAAATTTAATGTGCTTCTGTAATAATAATTATTACAGAAGCACATTAAATTATTAAGTAGCTAGTTTCGTAGTTAATGTCTATGTTTCAACGAACATCACTTCAACGGACAGCACAAACAAACTTACGGTGATAATTTTAGTGTTGAATTTTTGCCTAGGTGATTATGATACCACATCCTTTTAAGGCTAACGCCGGGAAATATTGGCCTACCACAATACCACCCCGATAAATTTCTACATATATGCAAATTATTTTAAATCTAGATTAGGTCAGGTCAAATATTTTTTTATAAATATTGGTCTTGTTCACTTAATAAAATATAGTTTGTCAAATATAAAAATACTTTAATAAAACATTTGTAGCCATTAAAGTCAAAATAAAGGTATATTATTAGTATATTTCTGAGAAAATATATGGAGAGTGTTTAGACTTTTATTTATAGAAATCAGTTATAGATTTTATCTAACAAATTAGTATTATTTAAAATTAAATTACTTTTGTAAAAAACAATTATATTGACTATTCAACACGTGGTGTAAAACGCATATATAATGCATTCAACAAACGGAGAAAATCACTAACATTAAATTACTTCAAGTATTATTAAATGAAATGAAAATTTAATGTAAGTACAAATTTTATTTTAAGATTTTAAAGAACAAATAACCTCTTACATAATAAATCATTAAAAAAGACTAGAATAATTAATATAGATATTTAACCTCATTTACTCAATATTGTTCAACTCCCGAGATCAATATTAATTTGTTATATCTCTTAAAATTTCTTCATAGACATTTATATTTGTTTTATTTATTAAACCATTATCTCTATATGTTCAGTCGCCGTTAAATATTTTCCAACCAAATAATATTTTTAACTCCGTTATTCATTATTTTTTGAGGGATTTATTACAAACTTTTCAACATATATTAAATCTTCTGTTAATCAATTAAAGAAATTGACAGAGTAAATAGTCGAAATAGAACACCAAACAATTGGATTAACTAAGTACAATTTCAAAAGTTAGTGTATGACTTTGCAGTATTAATAACATTCATCATAATTTTAATAATGATACTAAAATGGTTGATGAAGGATTGTTCACTAATTTCATGAAGAAACAAATTAAGTTTTAGGAAACTAGAGGCCACTTCAGTTAGAAGACTTTTTTTATTTCAATATAGTTAATGTAAATTTATTTTGTAATAATCTAAGAGATATAAGGATTAAATATCAATATAAGGCACATCATATATATATATAATATAGGTAAATCTATTTTTTTTACAGTTCTTTCAAACACAATCCAAATCAATTGTTACTATAGGCGTTGAAAGAGTTATTAATAAGAGCCTTATAAAATCTTTTTATAATTAAGCCTGTAATCGTTTCATTATAAATTTGGAAAATAAAATAAAATTTACAATTTTTTGTTAGTGTAATCATTTATTTTACTGTTAAGTAGAATATTTGTAATTTATGCTGATATAGTATTACAAAATAATAGGCTATTATGTAAATTGTTTTTTGGGACTATTAAGCAAGGGTCAGTGGTATTGTCATTACCGCCTTATGGTATAGTTGTTGCCTATTTTATTTTTACTGAATTAAATTGTAATAATACTTTTGTTTAGACAGTAATTAAATGTTATTCTTAAATTCTTTTCGACAATAAATAATTGTGCCAAAATTATTTCTGAATCCAAGATCGTATCACTATTTGGAGAAGCCTACATAAAATGCAATAAGTAGTTTTGAAGATTGTAGTATAAAATAATATTCGAATGATCCCATTGTACTTCAGCAACTGGGTCATCGTTACTAGAGCGCCACAGATCCAAAAACCAAACCCGATACCGAAGGTGTTTCTCATACAAGTACACTCTTCTACGGCTCGATGTGCTGTGACTGAAGATCCCGTTTAAGGACTCCATAACGAATCATAGATTTAAGTCTAATACTCGGGCCGCATATCACCTGTGCAGCTCTGCACTAGAAATTATAGACGGCTTGACGGGTCTCAGTCCAATCTAGGGGGGTTGAGAGAGCTGCAGCGCATTTAGTCAGGGTCGTATACTTGGTTTTATTGTATGGGTCTCCAGTTTGGACTCAAATACATTATCAGTACGATGTTTTTAGTCTTGAAAATGGAATTGAATAAAAATTTTTTCAAAATCATTAATATAAAAAAATATTAACTAAAATGATCAAGTTATTAAAATAAATATAAACAAAGCTCTCACAAAAAATTCATTAATTCCATTAAAATATTTTTTATTTTTCTTTAATGACTATTTATCAGAGTTATTTATTAATTAATAACTTTTAAACTATACAATTTTTGAAAAAATAAAACAATCACTGAAAACATTTATTTTGAACCCATCGATTGGGCAAACCTTTTACTCCAAGACCAGATACTTCCAGTACTTTACCGGACATTGGATATTCTTTAAATTGTTCAAGTGAGACCCCTCGGCTAAGTGTTGTAACGTAAAGTTTGTCTAGATTATTTCCTCCAAAAGTTACTGAAGAAACGTACTTTGCTTTAATTGGTAATTTGCCAAGCAATTTTCCCGATACTCCGCTGACATGTAGTACCTATTTCAATAAAATTATTTTTGATGTATACATATACTTAATGTTAAAAAAATGATAAAATTTGTTTACAAATAGTATACTATATATTTTCTTTCCTATTTTTTCCTAAAATATACTAAATTGATATTTTTTTGGATTTTTTTATTTATCTTATTAAAATGCATATTATATAATATGACATAATTATAGCTTATACCGTTAAAATTATTTAAAAACAAAGTATTTCGAAATATCAATTACATTAATGGTACATCCAGTAAAGAATAAAATTAATGTGACTTTGTTTAGGAAGTCAAAATACCTAACATATAGTTAACTCATATTTTCCTACAATAAAAAGTAACTTCATTTGAATATAAATTTTTTACTAAATTTCAATAGTTTGTACCTGAGCTCCGCCATAGTTGGCTATCCATATATTATCGTTTTCATCGATGGTCATACCATCAGGAACGCCTGGTATAAAGTCAGTGCTAAAATTATAGAATGGTCTACGATTATCTGAAAAAGATAATTTTTTTAATATCAAGTTAAGAAATAGAATTTATATGATGAATTGATTTTACTAATAGAATCGGTTTTAGAGTCGTAATCAAACAAATCAATTTGCTTAGTCGGAGAGTCTATGTAATACATTTTGGAACCATCTTTACTCCAAGCCATTCCATTAGATACAGATACTCTTGGTAAAACAGGTTTGACATTTTGAGTACACTTTGGAAATTGATTTGACTTAATGTCATTTAATTTATACAGAGTACCCTGTCCGGTTGGTATATTTCCCGCAGCATCTTCAAAGCCCATAGTACCTGCAAAATTTATTGATAGAGAAATAAAATGTATTATTGATACGTTTTTATTATTTCTCTTCTATCAAAATGACATAGAAAAATTCATAGCCTGTGGACTAAATACCGAGTAAATTGTTTTTTTTTTCATGAAAAATATCTTAGAGATTTGTGTAAATTAAATGAAGCTTAGCTCAAATTTTAGCTCAATATTAAAAATCGATATTAATATTTTATCGCAATAAAAATTAATTCTTCAAATCTTTGAAATACTATAAATGGTACCATTCCAAAATGAAATAATGATCATTGATAAATGTGAAAACCTTTTTTACATTTATTACATATTTTAACATAGCAATTAAATTAAAAATATATTTACCAGCCCAAAGTTGTCCTTTAGGATCTGCTTTAGCATCATTCCAACGATTTCCGGGTTTATCATTATCTACAGTAGCCAATTTTGTTAAATGTTGGACTTTAACAGGAATACTTCCATTAATATTATCCGTATACCATTGAAGTGAAGCTAGTTGTCTACCTAATCCTATCGCGAAAGTATGTTTCTTTTTTGCCACGGGTATAACAAAACTTACATCTTCATCTTAAATTAAAAAAAAATAATAATAATATATATAAATAATTATAGTAAGATAACATTTTTAAAAATTTGAATAAAATTATCAAATAAACGACTAAGATGAATATATGTAATTTTTGGCATATGNCAATATATTGAAAATATAATTGATAGCCTTTAAATAATACTTTATAACATATGTTTCTATTTTATTTTTCATGGTTAACCCCTTAAATACTCCTATAGACATTTGTATAATATAAGAGTTAAGTATAATAATTATTGAATGTATTAAATTGTAATAAATACAATTTATTTGAAATATTTTTTTTACATTTTCAAAAATTTTAGAGAATAAGTCTATATATGTAAGGTCAAAACCGATAGATTTTCTGAATGAATAATATTTTCAAAATTTCAATTATTGAACAACCTATTTATTCCACATATGTTTTTATTAATAATTTGTAGACGCACATTATTACTTACAATAATTATGACAATATTAAGATCTTACCTAATTGAACGTAATCCAATTTATTTTCGACCCATTTATACACGCGATGTTGAGCTATATCAACAAAGTATAAAATATTATTTTCAGAATCCCAAAATGGCCCTTCTCCGTGTACCATCACTTTATCAGACACTGCGCTAACAACAGCGCCATCGTAGTCAACACATTGATTTCTTGTCGCTGACGTACAACTTTGAAGTAATAAAAAAAACATTTATTTAAAATATTTTCTGAAGAACGATATTTTTTGATTATTTTTTTTTTTCAACATCATCAGTAAATTGATTTTTCAAAAAGTTATTAATTAATTGTACTGACTATGTTATAATAATTAAGAATAAGGTTTAGGTTTGTGCTACTGTTAATAACAGTAAAGAATAATAATAGCATTATTCGTAAAGTCATAATAAATACAAGTACCTTGAATTATTATTTAATTATTATAGTGTGTTAAATCTATTGTCACCTAAATATTCCTTGCATGAAAAAGAATGTCAAGTGACCAATATCGGTCACTCGATGTTAATTTTAAATAAATTGATAATAGTATTTGCTATTCGGTAATTTTTAATTCGAACTTTATTAAAATCTCTTCAGTTATTTAAACAATTATACATGTAATGTTTCTAGTATCTTATTGTAATCATGACTGAAACGGTAACCTCGTCGTTCTTTTAGTGGTTGTGTAAACAAAAAGTGGAAAATGGTGTTGGTGTATTTTTAATTAATTCAAGTAAAAATTTGGTATATTCAATACAAGAATAATTGATTTTTCTAAAAGAGAATATTATAGTGTTGAGTTATCCGAGGTAGTCCGATAGAACGCTAACTTTAGAGTTACACAATTAAAATTATTTCTAGATTAAGAAGGTGGAATTTTATAAGCTTAATTAGTATAAAGTAAGTAAATAATAAACTATTTTATTAATTTATTTTTATCAAATATTTAAGCAAAATAAAGTAAAAAAAAACGTATTTATTTTACTGGCTTTATTGGAACTTCGCTCCAATAATTCAAAACAATCAATTAAGCTTTGTTAGAAAACTGAACTCATTAAATTTTAATGAAACTCGTTAGTGTAAATGTAAATTTTTACATACCTTAAGTACAAAATAATCGTGCAAAAAAAAAATAACATTTCAATGAATAGTTAAATACGAAAACTACTGTGAGTTAAAAATAATTGTACATAAATCAATTTAAATTATAAAACCAGTATTAAATTTAAAAAAAAATGTATTAAAGATGTTTTTATTGAGAACTACTAACGAAAATTATACATCATAGAAATATTATTATTAAAATAAGATTAAATTAATCGAATGGATAATGTTAATTAAAATTCCTAAACTTCATTGATAAAACTGATACTGATATGATTTCCACTAATATGTACAAAGAAAGTTGAAAATAATTTCATTTTACCAAAATTATCAGTAGTCCAATTAAATATTAGATTAAAATATTTCTATTAAATAAAGATATCTTAACAAGACTGCTATAACTAATTTTTAGATAAGTTGTTATTCTGGTTAAAAATTTAATGATTGATAAATTTCAGATTTATTTTAATTATTCTATTAAAAAACTTTACTGTTTTAAAATAAATAATTTTAATCGATAAAAAATGTTCTAAGGTTTTTTATGTTATAGGGTGTATCGAAAAATTTGTCAATAATTAGAAAATATTATTCTATGAAAAATACAATTATTATTCTAATTGTATCTGTATGAGATTTTATGATGTCCCTAAAACTGGTTTTCAAAGTCACCGCCTCCAACGGCCGCACGAGTGCAACGAACTTCGCTAGGAGCGCCACAAAACGGCGTAGATAATAGAAAAAAATTAAGAAATCATGTCTCAAACGATCACAAACTCTGGAGAATTGAGTATTGTAGAAACATGATCAATATGTCAAATTGAAAATTCTAAAATTATCTACATCCGTACATGACCAATTTTAAACAAAATCATAAAAGTTTAAAAAACTTAAACTTTAAAAGGCTATAATTAAAAAAAAAAAATGTTTTATGAAAAATCGTCCATGTACGGATGTAAATAATTTTGTCATAGAATGTCATGTAAAATTTAACATATTGATCATGTCTCTATGATCACTGATTCCTTCAGAATTTGTGATCACTGGAGACATGTTATGATGTGCGATAAAAAAGTACTTGAACTTGGAAAATATTTAATATTTACAAAAAAATTTGTGTCTTATCTCTAATGAACCATTATGTATATAGAGTGTTCAGTAAGTAAGGAAATGGGTTTCTATTGTTCTTATTTTTTTAACCATTGACTTGTTTCCTTACTTGTATATACAAAATATATATAGATATATTTCTTTTCTTTTAAATATACTAAATTATTGACAACATGGATACGTTGATTTTAAATTTATCAAATTTTACACGACACCAAGTAAACAGTACAAATTAATATTCTAGTGTTTGCAAAAGCAACATATTTTTTAGAATAACATATTTTTTAGCATAAAATTGATTCTATTAATTTTATTTATTTTATTAAATCATTTCTCAAATTATTCTTTAATACTGCACATTTATTGCTACAGATTTCTTTATTAAATCGTATTTTTCGTTATACGTGGAATATTCACGTATTTTATCTGACAAATCAGTTTGAAACATAAATAGTTTTATTATCTTAAACTTAAGTGTAGAACATTTTTACAATGACGTAATTTTGGTTGTATTATATAAATTTTTATCACATAATATTACAATTTTAATAACTTAATATTTTATTGAAAAACTCTACTAACAATTCATTAGTAAGTAATCATATATTTTAAAAGTTTTAAGAGTTTTTGATAAGGTTACGCTATTTACTACGTAGTACATATGACTTTCGAAACTTATTAAAATTAGATTTTAAAATTAATAGACTTAAAAAGAATGTGACATTATTATGAATAATAAAAAAATACGAAGAAATTTTACTGATCGACTAATTAATGATAAGTTAACTAGTTTTTTTTTTTTATTAATTATTAAGATTAATTAAATCACTAAAATAAATTATTTATATGGTTTAGTAAAGTATACTTGATTCCTGTTTGCATAATATATAAAACAATTTATAAAAAATGTATTTCAAAAATGAAAACTTTTAGCTTTAAATAACGTATTTATCAGTCACGGAAAATAATTAACTTAAATTACTCATTATTGTAAAGTCGTTACCTTACCATAATGAAATTACGTCATTTAATTACATTTATTTTCAAGTAACTAATAAATAATTAAATTAAATTTATAAAGTAATTTCAATTTACTAATGTGTTACCAAAAATTATGATAGCTCCAATTTTTTATTTATGAAAAAATAATAATTTATGTACTCATGAATTATGTGTATAATTGAGTATGCGTGTTAAATATATACCAGTATTAGCTGTACCCACCCAAGTCACATAGGCAATCAATGTATTCAAATGCTTGTAACTCAATAAGTATTTATGCTAATGTTATACAGACCCATCAAAATTTTTTATAAAAAAAGGTCTAAAAAATGACCATTTTAAAATTTTAAAAATAAATAATAATAATAAAACAAATAATAAAAATATGACATTGACACATTTTGTAAAAATTCATAAATTATTTAAAAAAAAATAATTGTAAAATATTATTAAAAATTGTGAGTGTTTATAACACGCTACATTATCTGTATAATGTAATAAATATTTAACACTAACAAAATTTTTGAAAAAATTAGATATTAGTCTTTCTTCAATCGCATCACAAATAAAAAAAAACTTAAAGAGTAATTCATTGTTTTTTTATTTGTAAAGTAATAATTCCCAAGTATATATTCATTAAATTATTGAGATAAATAAGTTAAGATGTTTTTTTAATAATTCTGACTTTATCCATATATTGCAGTGATTAAATTTTTATACCAAGATTATAAATTTACTGGTATATAAAAACGATTATTTTAATTTAAAATTTTATTCAATTATATGTTTCAGATAACATGTCAAGACGTTTTAAATTATTTTGCCTAGTCAACTTTATTTTGTTGTTAATATTTATTTATAAGTTATGCACATTTTACAACTTTACTCAAAAACAACGTAAATATAATAATATACAATTCAGTAATATAAAAATTCGTGTTTAAATTAACATTTTTATTGACACATCATGATAAAAGAGTTATTAATTTAATCCAACGGAAAAGTAAAAAATCTACTTTAATGTTTTGCGCTGATTTTTTATTTAAGCTTGCCAAATAAAAAATAAAACGTATCTTAAGATTTTAAGCAAATTAAAATTATATTAAAAACATTAATTAATAACTAAAAAAACGAAATATAAGTTAATAATGTATATAAGTTAAAATGCCACAAAAAAAAAAAAAATTACTAATAATCGTTGATACTTGAATATGTGTTTAGAATTTATAATGGTAACATTATTTCCAAAAACCGATCAATGATTTTTTAATATTTTTGTTTTTGTGGCTTATTGGGTTAAATATTTTGTATTTTTTTTTTAGTTTTAAATTATTATTTTTAATATAATCTTAGTTTTATAGAATAAATCACAAGTGATTAATTTTTATTATATTTTAAACAAATTTTATACAAGAACCATAGACTTAGCAAGTGAAAAACTTAAGAATAATTTCATTTCTATTTTTAATTTAAACCATTATTAAATACGTAAAGTCTTTTAAAAATGCTTAATACTTGAAATTTAATTTGTACACTTAATCTACTAAATAAAATGAGTAATTTTAATTAATTTTTCAATTTACTTAAAGCGTATCCGTTTTGGCTCGAACAATGCAAAGATGCAGCTTGGCTACCAAATCAGCCCATACCTTTGCCAGAATGGGGTGATCCAAGAGACCCTTATGAAATTAATTCTATAAATGAATATGACAATTTGAATAAAAGTTTTGAAAATGTATTACAAACACTGTTGAAAACAAACAACTATGATTCTCTACATAATTTCATCAGGTAAATTAAATTAATTTTTAAAAACTATGTAGTTCTATGTGTAATAATCTATCAAAATTTTGAAGACAATTAATGGAAATTGCTATTTTTTATGTAAAAAAAATAATCTATCTTTCAATTATCTATAAACTTATTTTTCAAACTAAACAGTTTTTGGAAAAAGGAAATAAATTTGTTTTTAAATATTTATTATTGATTGGTATATTTTTTTAGGTTTTACAAACACTATAAAAGTGGAAACTATGATTCATTAGAAGAATTTTTCAGAGAGTATAAACCAATACTAACAAGAGATGCAAATAATTGTGTTGGACTGGCTTTGCTATTGCTTGAAAGATTAATACTACTTGATCAAATTTATCCTGGCATTAAAAAATGTTTATACTTGGTATCTTGTGAAATGAGACTGCAAGTATGTTTATTAGTTACGACAAAGATTATATTTCTCTGATAATAACTATCAAAAAGCATTTTCTTCAATCATTGGAGAAAACTGAAGAAAGTATCTTAATTGGTATAATTTGAGTATATATTAAGAAAAAAATGATTAATTAAGTTAGCCATTTTGTTAAGTTATTTTGTTAACTTAACGAAGTTAAACAATATATTTTAGTTAACTTCTAACTTAATTTAATGAGTTAAAAAACGTGTTAACATTTCCTGCCTTATAAAATAGTACAATTACATCAACAATAAGTGGTACATTAATAATACCGTTGAAATAACTGCATTTGTAATCGTTTTATTTTTAATATATGGGATATAATTTGATTAAAATAAATAGTTTTGAATATATTATAGTTGTCCTAACTAAAATGATATTGGAACATTAAATAGTTTCATTGGAATTACCAAATAAATGTAGATGCCCTATTATATTGAATTAATTATTATATCTAGTTGGGATTTCCATAAGAATAGCTTGAAATGCTTGTAGGCACATAGGTACGCAAGTTCTGAAAGAGCTGGAGTATGGGATTGATTTGTAACTTGTCAAAACTTAGTAAATTAATAATTATGATAAAAATGTATGCATTCATTGAAAACAAAACTACAGTCAAAGACTTTTTTATTATTAAAATATTTGTTTGCTTAATAATTTTTTTATTGTATGAAAAAAAATGTCTAACCAACAAAAAATTATTGTCAGCTGTATGAAGTTTATTGATTTTAGGTTTAAATTGTTTTTTTAGTGTTTCATAAAATAACCAAATTAGATCCTTTATTTCAATAAATTATTAAAATATTTCTTATCAAAAATAATATTGTATTTTTCATGTATCAAAATGTTTTAGAATATTGAAAGATATGAAATTAGAGACAATCCAGATCCATGGGTTGTTGATAAAGAACATGTCTTAGTGGCTATGAAGATTAAGGTAATTGGACGAAATGGTATCATGATACTCGATCCAGGATTTCAAATTGGTAGAGTTATTACTGTAATGAATGATGGACTGAGCCCACATACGGGTAAATTAAACATTAAATATATAAACAACAGTTATTATCAATTACTATACATTCTTTTTAAGTCAAACTTTGCTGTGTCGAATTTTTAATCATCTCAACTGTGTTTAAAACTCCTAAATTTTATGTTTTACAGGATCATTGTTTTACTATGTTCACGCAATATCTTTTACATATACATTTTTTCAGAAATTAATAATATTTTACATTCTATATTTTGAAGAAAACAATTCGGTACTACAATCCTTTTTCCTTCTTAAAATGAACTTAAGTTTTTTAAATAGTAACATATATGATTAACAAACTGTTTAAAAAATCCATCTAGAAAAAACTTTTAGACAAGTATTTAAAAAAAAATATTAGCATATTTATAACAAGATAAAAGGAGTAGTACTATATATATTTCAAAATCAAATAAAATGTAAAAAAAAGGTTTGAAATATGGATTTTTGTAGGTTTTTTGTTTACGGTCTTCTCATTAAGAAATCATGTCCATGCCACTGATACTACCTTACGCATACTAAAATATTAAAATAATTGAAACTAATTATGTAATTAATGGTTTACTAATTTTTTTTTAAATGAATTAATTAAATAAACATATCTTAGATACATTTAAAGCAGTATCGTCTCCAGAAAAAAAATATAATTATCAAATAGCATTGGATGGGAAATATTTGAAATGGACAATGTTTGATAATTTCACAAAGCCAGAAATAAATCTAATTTATATCGATGCTGCCTATATTACACCAGTTAGTGTCACTGAACGTCGCAACTTGATTAGTAAATTTAGAAGTATATTGTCGTCTAGTGATAAAGGACATTTATTGGCTGGTGTATACTTCAAATCAAATTATAAAGCAGGCATTCATTTATTTTATGAGGACGAAGAAGATAAAAAAAATAAAGGTTCAATCACAGTATCGCCCAAATATTTTATTTCACCAGATGTAAGTGAATGTGCATTTTATCCTTAAACAATTAAATAACATTAGAAACATAAAAAGCATTAATACTTTTTTTAGAAAATTGATTCAAATGTTGAATATATGTTAGAAAAATGTAGCAGGTATCTAAGGTTACCATTGAATGATTTACAAAACATTTTAACAGAAATTGCATACATTCTAGAAGATGAACAATTTCAAATTAGTATGCTGAAAATTGATAATGAAATTATTGAACGAGCTAAACATAATAGCGAAAGTATTGATAGTAATTATAGCAATTACAGTAATTATAGTTAGTTATCAAAACCAAATTAACTAAAATGTATATAAATATTTTACATAAATTAAACTATATTTTAAATTAAACAAAAATTATTTTATTATTATTATTGGTTAAGTAATAACTGCACATATTATTAGTAGTACCACTCTGCCTTGCACCACTTTATCAATCTTAAAAAGGTAGTCCTTTTACTTGATTGTAAAATACCAATTTTATAAGAAATGTGAAGCATCATCTCTAAACATTTGATCCAAACATGAAGCGGAGAGAGCCCATATCTTAAATTATTTTCGTTACAAGTCAATGTTTTTATTTTTTCTATATTATTCATATCTTTATGTGTACATTTACATACAAAACATGTTTGGCTAGATGTACTAGTTAATTACCTTTCCGTCTACCATAGTTAAATAAAAATGATAATTTACTTCAAACTGATTAAAAACAATAAGTGGTTTTAAATTCATAATTTCATTTTCAATTTTTGTAACCTCTTTCCATATTAGATAAGTGGTTTCTTTTTCATTTAAAAATTTTAACGGACGGCAATAACGAGTGGATGGTGTTTTGTCATTTTCCCAATAAATATTAGTAGCTTTATTAACATTAGAATCAACAAATTGTACACCGAAACTAAAAACAAATTTGCATCACTCTTTTTGCTCTTACTAATAGTGCTCTGATCTGTTTCACTATTACAGTCACTTTCGTATGAAGAACTAATCAATTTATTTAAAATTATATTTTTGTGAATTATATGTGCTGCCTTTTGATGGTACTCTGAGTGACCAGAATTACCATCACAGCACCATTTAAAATGAAAATCTAATTTTGAACAGCCTTCAAAATCGTTACAATTTAATTTCAAACTTTCAACAATACGTTCAGTAGTATGATTTACTAAACATTGTAAAGGGACGCTTGCATTATAATCACTACATTCAATATTTTTTGGATAATATCTTATTTTAACATCTCGAATTTTGTCATATGATGGATAAATATTCGCATTGCGCAGTTTAGCACTCTTTTTAATAGTATAATATGTATTTTTTGATAAATTAGTATCAATCATTAAAGCTAAAGCTTCATCATCTGTATACAGAGTCGCACAAGATTTTTCTACATTTTGATACGCTTGCCTAATTTTTACGGCTCTAGTTGGAGAAGATTATGTTCTTTGTCTTAAAATATCTGCCCCAGCGTGATTTTCTATTTGATATAAAACAGTTTTAGCGGCATAAACAATTTCTTCATTCGAATTCTCTGTTAATAATGACTCAATTTTTCGCATTTTTGTTTTATCGCTACTCTCGAAAAAAGATTTAATAGGTCGACCAACACAAGATGTAGAAGAAGTTGCACAACATAAATAAGATGACGGAGGAAAATTGAAATATAAATTCAATCAATTTTCATTTTTCTTATAAGAAAATAAAATAAAAATTTTTTATTATAATAAAATATTCCTTTAGCAGCAATCCATTTTTTGTCTAATGTGCTACAATAACCAGATATTTTACCTTTTAAAATATTATCTTTTGATTCTTCTAAAACTTTCCAATTTGGAATTTTAGAAATAACAAAATTGAAAATAAGTTGTCCTGCTTCAGTTGAACAAGGCTTTACTATAGTTTTATTTTTGTTTTTCAATACTTTGAATAAATCATAGTTTTTTAATGACTTTTCTATAAGAAATTTAATTGAATACAATTACTATTAATTTTGTTAAAATAGTTTTATTATATAAATAAATATTTTTTGAAAATTTCAGTATTATATTATTTTTTTGATTAATGAAGTGGCCAATGATAAAAGAATCATTCTGTATAGTATTATATAGTTATAATAATATTATTATAGCCCCATAAACTCCCTTAGTATACCCCCTGCTTAAATAGCAGGCTATATTCTCCTACTGAAATAAATTTAGTTGGGCAAAAGTTTACAACAAATTATATATAACGATGAAACTTGAGACCCGCTCCATGCTTAAATTTTTTGTGTAAATGACTGATTCACTTTCATAAATAACGATTTTAATCAGAAAATTTATGATTATAACCTCAATAGCAAATAATAGTACACGAATTTTTCAGCTTCGCATCAAAGCTGAGAAGGTATTAATTTTACCATGATGTGTTTCTTATTTATTTATTTTTTTTTTGTGTCTGTCACTACTTTTTCTCAGCTCTCACTGGACCGATTTCTTTTAACAATACGTCAAAAGATCACAAATTGTATCTAGTTGAAGACATTACCCTTAAAAATTTAAAAATTTTCCCTCGTTCCCCGCAAATGGGGGAAATATCCAAAAAAATTACAAATTTAAAAATCGACAAATTTTGTCATTTTTTTCACTTTTTTTTCTTAAAACTTCCATAACATTTTCAAAAATCAACAAATCAACATAATTTTCTTTTATACTAAAACTTTACATATTTCCCTTTCGTTTGATATCATTTTTTTTAAAATCTAACACTTAACCTGCTCATGGGGAGGATTTAAAATAGCAACTTTTTTACAAAAACTAACTTTTTCAACTTAATTTTTGAAAATGTTCCGGAAATACTGCGTCCTTTAAACATATATCAAATTAAAGCTTATTTTATGTACTACTAAATGAAAAAAAAAAATTTGTCCCGACGACCTATCTTCTATGTGCAAATGGCTACAGTATTCAAAAATATGCTATTATTTATTAAAATTCTGGGTTTTGTATTTTATTTTATTTTAAAATATCTTATTAGGGGAATACACTGACTCTCATGAATATTATATAATTTAATTGACATAGAATAAAGTTCATAAGACATATGATATTATACTTATTAACATTTTTTACTTTTTTAAAGTCGAAAAAGTAATTTTTAAATTTGAGTTAGCTTAAATAGCCAATTTTATCATGCAACAAANTTGAGTTAGCTTAAATAGCCAATTTTATCATTCATCAATAACAACGAACAGTTGCCGAATGGGTAACACTTGTGTCCTACACGCTTAGGGTACGAGGTTTAAATCCGTCTGTGGCTTTTAATATTTTGCATTTTTTTTTGAGTTAGAATAGAATTGTCAANTCAATAACAACGAACAGTTGCCGAATGGGTAACACTTGTGTCTTACACGCTTAGGGTACGAGGTTTAAATCCGTCTGTGGCTTTTAATATTTTGCATTTTTTTTTGAGTTAGAATAGAATTGTCAAATCATTTGATATTTATCTCATTTAGATTCAATAATTTCAATAAATATAAAGGATCTTATCACTATAGTCTCCCCTCGTGAGAAGAAATTGATATTCATGTTAATATTATTTTACTATGTGGTTCTTTTTCTGGCTACGATTTATTTTGCCAACCCTCACTAGACCTACTTTTTTCAACGATACGTCAAATGATTCATTTAAGTTTATGATATTTAAGTTAATGATTAGTTTAAGTTATTACTCTTAAAAATCAAAAAAATATTCCTTATTCAAATAAAAAGTAGCTTAACTAGATTTGTCCATACAAACAATTAAAATCATTAATTTTTAATATTCTTAAATTATTTATTGTCGAATTAAATTTGATATGATAAAAGTATTCAACTACAAAAGTAAATAATTTTACTTTATAATTTATTAATTTTTTAACTCTATTTGTGTGTGCTACTACCTGTTAATAATATAATAAAATTTTTTGTAACATGTTGCTATATAAATCATAAATTTAAAAAAAAAATGATTTTTAGTTTCACCTGAAGTTAACGATGGAGTTTTACAATTATAATTATATTTTTGATAATATGCTCAATTGAGTAAATCTTTTTAACTACTTTGGTTTGATTGGTTCATTTAATTANTATATTTTTAACAACTTTGTTTTGATTGGTTCATTTAGTTAAAGTAATAGCTAGTGGTGAAACATGAGTGTTTTATTTTTATACTAATGTAATATATCAGTAAGAAAAAGAAAAATATAATAGGAAAGTAAAAAAAAAACCAGCACAGGGGGGTCGCGGCACAGTGGTGTCGTGGTATAGTTGGATCAAGTATAATGATATCTGACAGTGATTAAAATCACTATCAAAAAAGACGCTTCGATGCAAATCTTTAGATAGTGTTAAATTTAAAAAAAATTTATGTTTTATTCCAAAAGCTACATGATCTGCTGGTTCCTTATTAATATCTCGATTAAGATAAAGTATGTTGAACGAAAAAGGGTTTATTAAAAAATATTATTTCTCTGAAAAAAATTGTGTGGATCCATACACTTTTCAATAAGTTATAACATTATAAAGTTAAAAATGTAAAAAATAAAATCGAATATTTTCACTTGAAAATAGCATTCAATCTAGAGGTCAAATTTTTTTTTTCAAATTAAAGTATATTACATTGGCTTTAATTTAAGATATATATAAAAGTGTCAGACCTTCCGGAACATTTTCAAAAGTTAAGTTGAAAAAGTTAATTTTTTGTGAAAAAGTTGTCTTTTTAAATCCCCCCCTGTAGTAAGATAAAGGGTCAAATTTACAAAAAGAAAATATCAAATGATAGGTAAATCAATTAAGTATCTATAAAAAAAAATTATATTGATATGTTCATATTTGAAAATTTTAGTACATTTTAGTAAAAAAAATTGAAAAAATTTCGAAAATTAGCGATTTTTAAATTTGTAATTTTTTTGGAGGTTTCCCCCATTTACGGGGAACGAGGGAANAAATTTGTAATTTTTTTGGAGGTTTCCCCCATTTACGGGGAACGGGGGAATTTTTCAATTTTTAAGGGTAATGTCTTCGACTAGATACGATTTGTGATCTTTTGACGTATCGTTGAAAGAAATTCGTTCGGTGAAAGCTGAGAAAAGTGGTAACAGACACAAAAAAAAAAAAAACACATCATAGTAAAACCAATACCTTCTCAGCTTCGCATCGAAGCTAAAAAGTGAGAGTTAAAGAAATATTTATATAGCCAGTTAAAGGAATAAAATAAAGTAATATGGTGTAAATTCTGATATGAAGGCCTCAGTACTTGTAATATACCAAAAGAAATTTAAAGGACTTATTCGTAGTTAGAATAATAAGGATAATGTAATAAATGTATGATTGAATAATACAAAATAAGATAAGATAATATATGATGGAATAACATGTGTTTAAATATGGCAAAATAAGTAAGGGTGTAAAGAGTATAATGATATAAATAAATGGAGATTTAGAAATGTGATTAATGGTGGTTAAATACATTAGGGTGATGGTCAAATAAATAAAACAAACACAAACGAATATGACAAAATAGTGGATTGATCTCGGGATTAAACAATATTCAATAAATGATGTTAAATATCCCTTACAAAATTGTATAAATTATCTTGATGGTTATTACGCAATAGATTGTTTGTTATTTGAAAGTATAAGTTTAACTTGTACTTACCTTTTATTTTATGTAACATAACTATATTTTAAACAATCTAGTTTAGTTTGAATTTACAATTTAGTTTGAATTCACACTGTATTTCACACACTGTCCACTACGTATTGTATAGTCAATATGACTGTTTAGAAAAAATATTTAATTTTAAATAATACGAGATCGTAACACAAAATCTATGGCTGTTATTTATATTTAAAAGATTCTATACAATCTATATTTTTGTTATATATATAATTCAACAATGTACCCTTATTTGATTTTGTTGAATATGCATGCTTTTTGGGGACTATATTTTATTGAGAGATCGACACCAGTAGTTTTTAAATCGTCCTCTGGCCAGGCCAAAACAAGATTCAAAAATATTTATATCTATGTAAAAAATTTATCAAGGTGGTATTGTAGTGGCCTAATGTGTCCCGACGCTAGCTCCTTGAAAGGATGCGGCACATTAATCACCAAGACAAAAATTAAACACTAAAAATATATTCGTAAGTTTCTTTGTGTTGTCTGCCGGTACGATGTTCGTTAGAACAAAGACATTAAGCTCAATGTTTATCTACTTAATAAGAAAAGTTCACAATAGATTTTTACTCTTAGTAAAAATCTATCCAGTAAGTATAGAGTCGCAATACAATTAATCCAATAAAATTATTATTAAATTAATTTAAATCTGAAGTAATGGTAACCTTTAGCTCACAATTAACATTTAGCATTAAATGAATATTTAAAGTTGGGTTGGGTTTATTATAAAAATAAAATAATTTCAAAATGTTTGAGGTATAAGATATAATTGACATTTATTTTCATGATAAGAAATATAAAAAATGTATTATTTAATAAACAAATAAATTTAAAATAAAAGATACACCAAAATACAATTTACATTAATTTTATTCCAAGTTCCATTTAATTTTAAAAGAATTATTAAAAGTCCTAATTATAAAAAAAAAACTAAATCCCAAAGTGTAAGAATCCTGAGCAGAGTGTCGCATATTTTATATATTTTAAAATTGCTAAAAGAACTAATTTAAATAGGAAAAAATGGGTTTTTATAGTCAGACGAGGGTAGTGTAAATATCCATAGAAAGCTTTAGATCTTAATTAATTGTTAAATACATTTAAATTAATTTAATTTAATAGAGAATCAATGTAAGCACTATATTTTTTACAATGAAAAAAATTACAAATAATCCTAAAAATCATTTCAAAGCTTAAATAAATTCCAAATACAAAAGCTTAACATATTTGCAACATTATGACCTGTCTAGTTTTGTAAAATATGTGAATGATTCTAGTAAACTTAGTAAAAAATGGATTCCGTCATGAAAACAATTCAACAATATTATAAAGTTATAATTCAAGGCAATCAGTATTTATATATTTATATTATATATAATTAATTTATCAATATTAATTTGAAATTTTACAAAAAAAATCAATACATTTTTATGTAAATTAAGAGACAATATAATTTCCAGTGAAATTGATCAAAATGAAATAAATCAAAAATTAGTTGAATTTTTAAAATTAGATAAATTCATTATTACCTTTATATTGTTTTCATTAGAAAATCTTGAGGTATAAAATAACAAAATATTAATATTAATAATATCTCAATGAGTGGCGGCTTGTGGCTTGGACGCCGGGACTATCGCACCCCCTACTAAAATTAATTAAAAGAAGATTATGTTCTTAATTCTACATTTTTATTAAAAATGCAAATTTTTAAATAGTATAATAGTTATAATACATTTGCCGTGTGTGAACATAAAAGTCGTTTACCTCACTATTTGCGGATATGCACACACGAGTAGTGTTTGGACGACCTATAGCGTCATTCGAATAATATTTTGATTATTTGATAACGTTATGATTTGTGCGTGTAGTCTACAATCTGAAAGGTTACAAATATATAATAATCAAATTAATTGGCCGCAACGAAAAATTTGTAACTTTCATGGCGTTTTACAAAATTATAAGAAGAGGGTCGCCAACCTACTGGGCGAGACAGTGTATTGTCGGACCACAGTAGGATTTTAAAAAAATTAACTATTGTATATTAAAACAATTAGAAACAAATATATAATTAATAAATATCAAAGTTNAACAAATATATAATTAATAAATATTATAGTTGATGTCCGTTGAGTCGTTGATAGTAAATGTACACCAAAACCTCGTGACAGGGGTCACATAATCATATTGATCAGGGATGACCTTATACAAGGCCGTTGCCCGTACCTTATAAACTAGGGGAGTTGATTTTTGAAAGGAAAAAAAAATACACGAGTCCATTGAAGATGGAACACGCAAAAAAAGAAAAAACAGATGATGGTTAAGTTAAATTAAGGGGACTTTATTAAGTAAAAAAAAAAACAAAAATTAAGTTATTACGAGGCAAAAAACCGAATGGTCAAAAAACCTCGTCTACAAATTAAAGGGGACAGAGAAAGAGAAAGAAAAAAAAACAGATATTAATAAAAAAAATAGTTACACCTACACTTTTATTGTTAGAGAATACGATGAACGTCTTCGGGTACCCGCCGGCTATTAATCGCAGCATTGCCGCTAAGCACGGCGGGTATACGTCCCAAGTAAGCGACTGGTTTCTGGCAGTTAGGCTTAACTTGCAAGACGTTGGGACACCCCGGAATAAAATGCACTACGTCACCACATTGTACCAATAATATATTCATCACCCAATAAAAAANCCTCGTGACAGGGGTCACATAATCATATTGATCAGGGATGACCTTATACAAGGCCGTTGCCCGTACCTTATAAACTAGGGGAGTTGATTTTTGAAAGGAAAAAAAAATACACGAGTCCATTGAAGATGGAACACGCAAAAAAAGAAAAAACAGATGATGGTTAAGTTAAATTAAGGGGACTTTATTAAGTAAAAAAAAAAACAAAAATTAAGTTATTACGAGGCAAAAAACCGAATGGTCAAAAAACCTCGTCTACAAATTAAAGGGGACAGAGAAAGAGAAAGAAAAAAAAACAGATATTAATAAAAAAAATAGTTACACCTACACTTTTATTGTTAGAGAATACGATGAACGTCTTCGGGTACCCGCCGGCTATTAATCGCAGCATTGCCGCTAAGCACGGCAGGTATACGTCCCAAGTAAGAGACTGGTTTCTGGCAGTTAGGCTTAACTTGCAAGACGTTGGGACACCCCGGAATAAAATGCACTACGTCACCACATTGTACCAATATTATATTCATCACCCAATAAAAAATAATATCAAACCTATATAACAAAATATATAACATGACAGGTGGTATTGGAACACGCCTGCCATGTTGAGGGATCTAAATAAAAAAATATAGGGACACCTACAACAAAAAACTATATAAAAAAAAATATAAAAAAAATTCGCCACACGTGCTTATGGCACGGCGCACTCATAAAAAAAAACTGGCTCACAACATTAAATAAACAGTATACATTACCCGCCCCCAAGGGCTAAAGAAACAGGAGGCAGGTTTAACCGACGCCGTGATAAAAAAAATTACATTTTTACATAGCGGGCACTCACGAGAAAAACAAAATTATATTACAAGAAACACAAAAGTTGCAGCGCACACAACTAAATCTATCGCTACGGACGGGAAATAGTACGACCAGTTCCGACTATGGCTATTCCCCGACAACCCGTCCGACATTTGACCCGGCGGTCCGTAGGCGACAACACGGCTAGCCTTTGGAGTAGGGGTCAAAAAAAAAAAACCTAATACCCAGTGCCGGAAATTACTAAGAACAATTTAAATAAGGCGACAATGTATGCGGTGAGCAGTGCAAATGACGTTCAAGATAGGAAAGGAGAGGGGTGAATGTACACACAAATGCCGTCCATTAACCGGTCCGAAGTAGTACACAGCTGACTATCTCGCACGCGCATAAACAAATCACAACACCTTATCATGATAATTTTACCAACAAATGCCGTCGCAGTCCGCATTCGGCTCAACACAAATATATATATATNACGTTATGATTTGTGCGTGTAGTCTACAATCTTTTATTTTTAACATAACAATTAGTCGTTGAGTCATTCTTTGTTGTAGTTTTATATAGTAAGTGTTAACTCCTAATGCTTTTGATATCGATTATTAACTTTGGCAGTTATTAGCGTATTAAGTTTCACTTGTTGGTGAGTTAACGACTATAATTTAATTTCTTATCACACATTAGTTATTTATTTTACACACATCACCAACCAGCTGTATTTTTTTTTTTGTGACTTAAACGCTCCTGTTATTGTTTCTCAATTGTACGCTGTATCAGCATTACCGGTTGTGATTTTGGTTGCGTTTTTATACTTTTAAGGAGTATATTATATTGAACATCATTATGAGTCCAAATACTCCTCAAAAAGACACTTCAAGAGTTACTACTCGGTCTTCTCTAACTATCTCCTCTGGTAGGTCAGTTAATGGATCGTCCAATCGAGCTGACATGAGTAATATAACCAATATGATCTCAAATGAAGATTTGATGGTTCTGTTAAAGGACTTAAAGGTTGAAGTATTATCTTCCAATAAGACAATGTCTGAACTGCAGGCTTCGCAATACAAAGACTTCAATGCTGACTCGTTGCGGATTTCTGATCAAATGACTGAATTGAAGAAGGAAAATACTAGGCTTAGTAAAGAAATTGATGCACTGAAAAGTAAAGTTACAAGTTTGGAAAATTCAAGCTCAGTTGATACATCACAATCTGTAGTGTCACAAGTTATCCAAGAAACNTATATACGGAGTTCCTGAATCTACGTCGACGTTTGTAACTGAGCGAATAGCACATGACAAATTGACAATATTCTAGTTTCACTTCCTAGTGCTGGTTCCCTGAACTTATAACTTGTCCACCTTGGCAAACTCCGGGCAGATTCAACCCGCCCTATAAAAATTATTTTAAATAGTAAAGGAAATGCTTTATGCTTATTATCTGAGTTAAACTCTGCAAAGCACTCTGGTACTACATTTCCTGATAATTTTCGAATGATAAGTGATAGAACCCCACTTCAATGTAAATTGTTCCGTTCCTGTTATATGGAGCTTGAATAAAGAACTAAAGATGGTGAATCTGGACTACGTATAAATTATGAAGATGGATTGCCAAAAGTTGTTGTCAATCATTCAAAAAACGGAAGATTATGCCAACGGCAAGCAGTCATCCATTCTTAGCAACATCTCTATGTAATGGCTCAATATCTGGATTCTATCAGAACTGCCGTGGTTTAAGGAAAAAAATATTTAACTTTAACTGTAATGTATCATCTTTAAATTGTACTTTCATTGTTTTAACTGAAACATGGTTAACCGATAACTTTTATGATTCTGAACTTGGTTTAATTAACTATAATATTTTTAGGTGTGAAAGATTGGTTGGGTTGGGTCAATTGTTTTAAATAATGGGAACATTAGAAACATTAGTGAACACTTTGTATATTACTCTTTAATCGGAAGAAAAAAACGAAACTAGGAGATTTAGGACCGTGTAAATAAAGACTATTAATCTAAACTTAAATAATAACATATTATTGAAAACGTGTACATTTGATTTTATTTAAGTAATACACTGGCACGTCCAGCAGTAACGGTCAGACCCGTTCGGATTTTACAATGTCCACATAGGTAGATAATAGTCGCCCGATAAAGATACACATAACTAACATAACACCAATGATAAAGATTACAACAAAATTGTAGTTTTATACTAATCAAAATAGAAATTACAATCGTTGAGAACGGCAATTTTTTATTTGTTTCACAATTTCAAATAAATTTAATTTAATACTATAGACGAATAAACTTATTATCTATATACTTTTTCTAGAAACCCAATTAATTATTGAATAAATATGGATATTAAATGCATGTGATAGGAAAATTTTTTTTCGATATAATTAATGAAATGGTACCAACATTCCTAACAATTTCTATTATATATTTAAATAAAACTAATTCAATGTACTGTAAGTAAAAAACAAATGATCCTAGAACTTGTTTTTTATGAATAATCTGCTACCAAAGTCATAGAACTTTAAAATTTTTAGAAAATTTTTTTTTTAATTTATGATAATGTTCTAGAATAACTGTATCCTCCTAACTTGTACCAAGTGAAAGTTTTAAAAAAATAATATGACAATTAAAAAAAATTTGTCTATAATCGGCAAATTTCAAATTATTGTAATGATATAAAAATTTTTGGGTACAATTTTTTTTCTAAGTAGCAACAGACGTATAGAGGGGCTTAAACTCCATTATCTCTAATTCCATTATCTCCAAAATTTACGATAGTGAGATAAATCACTATTTGATTTTCATGAATAAACTATGCATAATCTAAACAGTACCTTTTTTTAACAGGGAATTATATTTTCATAAATAGAAATAATCGAAGTAAGTCATCCATCTAAAAGTGTGTAATTGCAATTTTTTTAATAAGTGGTAACAGACGTATTTAGGGCTCAACTTCAAAAATATACTCTAAAACAAAATAACCAGTAATCTTAAAGTACATTCACCGCTAAGTAAGAGGCAAAATAGTAAAAAAACAAATATACCTAATAATAATAGATTTAAAATACTTTCTCAGCTTTACATCGAAGCTAAAACATTTAACAAAAACAAATTTAAAACAATCTTCTGACTTGACTTTTGATTTGATTAGATACGAATAATCTGTTGAGTAAATGATCACCATTAAATTAACCTTTAACATTATTTAAAAAAACTGCTGTCCTGCCCGGGGTGTGTGAAAAAAAATTTTTTTAACATATATTTTAAACAAAATGATTTAAATTATGCATAATCCAAATAGTACATTTTTATCAATAGGGAATAATAGATCCAACATCAGGAATAATCAAATTAAGTCATATATTTAACACTTTGTCATTAAAAAATTTACCAAGATCGCTCAATTTAAATCACATTTGTATTGCTAACTCAAACTTAAATCCAACAATTGAAATTAAAAAAAGTAAGACAATTAAATAACTTTTAAATCCTTATATATTTAAAATAATTAAAAAAAACGTTGATTGTTAAAATGGTAAAACAAGCTTATTTTTTTTGTAATTTACTACAATATTAATAAAGTTAATAAATTTTTACAAGAAAAAGAAGTAAAAAATAATCTTAATAGTCATTTCAAAACCATTTTCAAGGGCTTTTTTAATACAAATATTAAAATCTTTGTAACATTATAACCTGTATTTGTATTGGGTTCCTACTTAGGATGAGACACGGTGACGTGTTGGAGTGGACTGTACACTTAACTTTTACGAATAACTACAATAATATAATTTAAGTTCTAGAATTTACAGTCATTATTAAATAAATAATGTTATAATAATCAATCACAATTTTATATTTATGTGATACTTTATACAACATCAGAACGAACATTTTTGAAAATTGCTTACCCAGACTATTAGTTGTACACTTACTAATTAACTAACTAAATTGTACTAACATTAATACTATAGTAATACGGGTTGGGTTAATTATTCATAAATTATTGTTGTTTTCAAATTAAAATTTAATACTGATCATTATATGTGTTTATATTCTATTTCAATATATTACTTAATGAATATTTACAATATTAAAAATTTTTAAAAAATTAGGGTGCCGAAAAATCCTCATCGAGGTCGCAAAAGATGTGAAACAATAATTTCTGTTAAACAGTACCAGTTTCGAGACTGCAGTCGAAGAACGCGAATTTTAAAGCGCAGAAAACGGAAATTCTTCCAGGTGACTCATATTTTGAGTGGTTTACGAAAATAGGATGTAGAGGGAGTTAGAGAGAGACAAATTATTTTTTATTTATAGATTAATCAAGGGAAACTCAAATTCTATAAGCGATAGCCCATTGAAATGTGTTATAAAAATTATGAACAGTCTAATCGAAAAAGAAAATTCATCAAAATGTATGGTTGTAGTGATGTCTAAAGTAAGATATACAATAAACGCATGTAACTATTTTAATTTAATCTTGGCTAATATATCAATAACAATTAAATTGTATAGATATTTTTATTATTAATACCTTAAATAAACAAATATTTATTTAAACTAAATCATAAAATAATTTTTTAAATCCTTAAAAATATATTATTTTATGTAAACATAAAACTTAAAAAGATATTTTAAATAATATAATTATACAAATTTGTATTAGTTATACATTGTATATTATTTGTACAATGAATATGTCAAGCAAGATTCCATACTGTTGTGCATACTTAAACTGTGAAGTTTGTATTAATAATATATTAACGTTAATTAATCCCAGAATAAATTAAATCATTAACCTTAGTCTGTTTATTTATTACAGTAAATTTAATTAAATTTTTTATTCATCTCTAAACTGTTAATTATGTATTGTTAAATAGCTATAGTTAAAAAGAACGATCAATGTTAGATATCAAATTTACTATTAAATTTAATAATTTTCTAGAAATTAAATATTAATGAAAATAAATATTGTAATTTATGGTTTTTAGTTTGCAAAATACAAACGCCGTGTAAGACGACCATATCCACTTGAAGATCATGATCCTAATTCACAGGACAGTGGTTCTCTTACTGCTCATTCAGATGATTATAAATCAGTGTCAACATTATCTGACAGCAATACATCATTTACAGATGATTCAGATGATGAATTCTTAGACATTGCTGTATCCCCAACAGAATCGGTAATTATTTTACCTTTTAAAAAGGTTAACAGTTTTTTTCCTAATTTTATTTTATTTCTAGTCTCCAGATTCACTTCTACTTGGATTCAGTACATTAATAGAAGGAAATAATATTAGCCAGTCATCAATTATTGTTAAAAGAAAAATTACTAAATATTCTTCAGATACTCCTCGCAAGACTGTAATTATTATAAAACAATTTATTATTTCAATAATCATAGATTTAATACATGTATAACTTATAGGATTTATTGTTTGGTGGTATTAAAAATAATGAAGCAGTTGTGAGAAAAAGAAAGTTGACACGTGATTTAGAATCAAATTCTGAAATTAATGTATTATTAAAGAAAACTAGACCTAGTACGAAATCTAAACCGGTCGAGAGAAGTTAAGGTAAGAGGCTTTGAGCCCATTCAGTTTTATTTCTAATTACAGTAGAACCTCATTAATCCGAACCAATAAGGGCTCTAGGTTGTCTGATTTAATGAAAGTCCGGATTAAACAAAATAACCAAAAAACATGTTCGTATTATAGATTTAAGAATATTACATTACACTAATTACTATGTATGATATACAATATATATGTATTGCAACATGATATTAGTTTATGATAACTTTAATGACGGTAGATAAGAATACTTGTACTTATGGGAAATTCGAGGAACTTGCTTATATGTTTATTTTAGTCTACGGCATAAACTGCGTATTTTTCGTAATACTAGACAGCTGACCGGATTAAGCAAAGTCCGGATTGATGAGGTTTTACTGTATATTAGATTTTAGTTTTAACTTGGAACGGTGAAGTCTCCCTTACAAATTTTTATTGTTCATATAGTTATTTGAACGAATTTCACTGATGACAGCAGTGAATTTTTACCTGGGTTATTCACAGTTACGTGTTAGCGGGATAAGATTTGACTTGGTCTCTGGAAAATTTTTTATAAAAATAAAGTTAGAGTAGTTTATCTAATACAGTCCGCTGTAACTATTGTCATTGAAAAGTGTTGGTTACAGTTTGTTATAAAGACCTTATTGATATCGACAGAAAGTTAATTTCCGGCCGATTGTTACAGTCAATTGGTAGATAAAAATAGTATATTTACGTCTGACCTTGTCAAAGCGGCCGATTCCCAGGTAACCGTTATTATTATTGTTCACTCGTTGCCATATCATATACGGCGGCCCCGGACCATCTTATCGCGGGTACTTTACGAAATCAATAATAGCAATAATAATAACACTTGTTTTCTACATCAGTAGCAAATTTGACCGTACACGGAAATATTGTTTATCTCCGCTATTAACGTAGCTACTTTTGATTATTATGCGCTTTCAGACAACTACCATGCTACGCGACGAAACCCAACATGCTAATTATGCTAGAAGAAAACCACCTACGCATCGAAGAGGGGAACCCAGCTACCGAAATTTTACTACTGCGTACGCCGCTCGATAGCGAAATTCCGGTCCGCGAACCCGAAGTGGGGGTTTTCGACAACACCACGGACGATGTCAGCGAAGAAGAAATCGACGCGAGCAATCAGCGGCCCGTCGTAGCGCCTTTACCGGAGGAACATCCGGTGAACCTCGTGCTACACACATCACACGACGAATCTGATGTCGACCAACCGGACACGACGCAACACTAAACGAGCGCCTCGCGGACATCGAAGCACAACAAGCCCGCAACATGAGACGGTCGTACGTACAAGCGTCTCTACCACGGATGTGTAGCACGGGTTAGCAGGACGAACATTATCAGCGCACTCATACATATGAGAACGAGCCGACCGATTTTTAGTTTACGCGCCAATCGCGGGAGGGGCAATTCAACACAACCGACGGTCATCGGTCTTTTAATGATTTGTCGCTTACCCGCAGCTCGCGGTCGGTATTGGTACCCTACCACGACCTACGCACCGTACGCGCCTGATTACCTGAGTATTACGGGAGAAACGAAGAGGGCCCACGGGAGTTTCTAAATAGAGCGGAAGATCTACTCTGTATCCCACACCCAACCGCGTGGGTAAACATCGTCATCCCGTTTTTGAACGACAGGGCAGGTGATTGGTGGCGAGCGATTAAATTAAACAATATGCCATGGACGGAATTTAAGTCCGAATTACTCGAGAAGTTCGACAATATCGATATCCGGACTGCGCTCGAGACGGACTTAAAAACGACGCGACAGGGCCCCCGACAAGCGTTAACCGAGTTTATTATTCATAAACAACGTTTGGCCGCGCGAGTACGTTGTGGGTTACCAGAACAACAANTGCGAATACGTTGTGGGTTACCAGAACAACAACTTTTGCGACATTTAACGGGGCTTTTACGGGACGATTACTGCGCTATGATACGTGTTTAGGCCTACACAATAAATGTAACTATTGTTGTTTTATCTTATCGTTGTTCGGCGGCTGCATAGTTGTCCGGTAAGTGTAAAAAACCCGTGCGCAATATTTATAGTGTCGGCATACAGCGGTTATTGTGGTACTATCGTTATAGTGTACTTTGCTCAAATTACCACGAACGCTCTCTGACAGTTAATAGAGCGTACATATATATACATATATATTAGTAACGGTCAGCTGAGGCGGTTGGTTTCTTTTGGAACAATTATTTATTATCGGTAAAAACCAACAAAACAAATTATGCCTGAAGATAATCGCAAAAATGAAGTTACGCGATTAAGCATAAGTAGAGGTCAATTAAAATCAGCATTAACAAAATTTTTAAAGTTTGTGCAAGACGAAAAGTCAGACCTAATTGAAATTCGGCCTAGAAGAGAAAAAATTGAGGAAGCATGGAGTGAGTACGACCAAGTACAGTTGGAAATCGACATGCTAGAAGGGATAAACGTAGAGGAACAGCAAAATTATAGAGCTGATTTTGAAGACTCATACTTTAAAGCAAGTACGATTGCGGAGAAGAGGCTATCTGAATTGAGTAGGGTAGTCAGCAACGCGTCAGACGGTGTTGTAGGGAATACGGCAGCAACATCTTCAATCGTAGCGACACCAACAGTAGCAGCGCCTGCTATTAGATTAGCCCCGCTAGATATCCCATCATTTCATGGTGACTATAAGCAATGGACAACATTTTATGATATTTTTTTGGCATTAATTCATACCAACGACCAATTGTCAGACATACAAATTTTTTTTTATTTGAAAGCGGCTTTAAAAGACGATGCCAAACAGGCTGTTAATTGTTTGGAAATCACGGCGTCAAATTACGCAGAGGCATGGCGGACATTAATTGAAAGATATAACAATAAAAAAAGTCTAATACAAACACATGTAAAAGCGTTATTTCACTTAGAGACGTTAACTGTAGAATCAGCAATTAAACTTCGAGCGTTTACAGATTCAATAAAAGGACACATGCAAGCATTAAGAACCCTTGATCAAGAGCCAGAGTCGTGGAGTCCTATGTTAACGTATTTAGTAACCACCAAGTTAGATAGAAAGAAGTTGTCTTCGAGCGTGGGAAACGGACACGGCTCAGGACTCTCTTTCTACAATTATCTACAATTAGTGGAATTTTTAGAAAAACGGTTTAAATCTTTAGAAGCGATCGAATCATCTAAAGCCATAAATCAGAGAAACGCAACAGCATCGGCTACCCATAGTCAAGATGTCACAAAATCTATGGTACGGAGCAATGCTTATGCGGTGACAACTTTGGACAAAAAATGTCCTAGTCTTTTGGCCTTGTCCGTAGTTGAACGCATTAAGCGCATTAGTGAGCGCAATTTATGCAGGAATTGTCTACAGGCACACCCTAAGAAAAAATGTTTGGCTCGAGGCTGTTTTAAGTGTGGCAAGCCACATAATACACTTTTACACTTAAGTGCACGGACCGATCAGTCAGAGTTCAACTCAGCAACAAACGTAACGGAAAATTCGGAAAATAGCGAGTCAGAACAAGTAGTTCAAAATGAATTAGTAACCGTTAGTACACATACTAGCTTACCGGCTGCTACGTCGATATTATTACCAACCGCAGTTGTTTTGGTCAAGAGTAATCGTGGTGAATGGGAGCATTGTCGCGTGTTACTGGATTCTGCATCACAAAGTAACTTTATAACCGAACGTATGGCACAGATTTTGCGGTTACCAAAAACCCATATCGACCAAGGCGTCCAAGGAATTGGTGGAAACGTACAAAGAATTAAATCTCGAGTAATGGTTACAGCCAACTCCCGTTTAAATGACTATTCAGTAACATTGTCATGTTTAGTAGTTAAGAACATTACGAGTAACCTACCAGGCATCCGACTAAATGATAGCTGCGTGGTTCCAAAAGCTATAGTCTTAGCGAATCCGCGTTTCACCGTGCCACAGAAAATTGACTTATTAATAGGAGCGGGTCACTTCTATGATTTAATGTCTGCAGGTAAAATAAAGTCACGACCAGGCGGCCCTGTATTTCAGAAAACAAAGTTCGGATGGGTGGCTGCCGGTTCATCAGAAAATCAACTCGATAGTATAAATCAACAAACGGCGATTTTCCTCACGGTGAATGACAATTATAACCAATCCCTAGAAAAGGTAGCTGAATGTGAATTCAGTAAGTATCCTGACGCGTGTCAATCATTAGTTAACGATTTTTATGTGGATGATTGGTTAAGCGGTGCAATGAACGGGCAGAGGATATAACATTACGAGACAATATTATTGCCGTAATGAAAGGTGCCGGTCTACATTTACGGAAATGGGCATCGAACGATAATAGTTTAATAAGTAGTTTATTACCTACCGAACACAATAAAGATAGTGACGGTCCGCGTATTATCGATAACGACACGACGAAAATATTAGGCCTGTGTTGGGATCCGCCATCGGATTCATTTAAATATACATTAAGTGAAAACATAATAAATAATAACGATATAACAAAGCGAACAATTTTATCGAATATAGCCACAATTTTTGATCCCCTTGGTTTGCTCGGGCCTGTGTTAGTTGTTGCAAAAATTATCATGCAACGTTTGTGGTACATTCAACTCAGTTGGGACGGTCCCCATTGGTTGAAGGAGAAGTACGAGAAATGGCCGAAGTCATGTGTACAATACAGTAGTACAAACAATATACCAGAAGCCAAAAAAACGGGCGAAACAACAATTACGACTGTTGCATGCATAGCGCACGATAAATATTATTCGTTGTTATCTAGAAGGTCGTCGTTATTATTTATTATCAGAGTGACGGCGTATTGTTTACGCTGGCGGTATAACATGAATCGAGCAGTAGGTGATAAAACGGTAAACGAACTAGAGAGAGCAAATACGACAATCATCAAAATAATTCAACGCGCACATTTTCGGCAAAAATTGAGAGAGTTAAATAATGAAAATGCGAATGTGTCAAAAAAAAGTAAACTACTGCGTCATAGTCCATATATTGATGGGGATAATATTATACGCGTCGGAGGACGTTTAAAATACGCTATGGCGTTAAATGACAATCAGAGACATCAAATTGTATTGCCGGATAACTGTCTTTACAAAAAATTATTATTCCGTAAAGAACACATGGATTTGATGCACAGTGGACCTCAAGCCTTGGTGGCCTCTATTAGGCAGCGCAACTAGCCTTTAAAAGCGCGAAGTTTGGCTCGTACTATAGTACACAATTGCGTTAATTATTTTAAACTGAAACCTCAAATAGTACAACCGAGTCAATGGGAAGTCTGCCTGGTTCACGGGTACAGAGTGGAAGAGCATTTGCCATATGTGGTGTAGATTTTGCGGGTCCAGTCATGATAAGAACGAGCTTGCATCTTAAGGCACCATGTAACAAAGGATACATCAGCATATTTGTATGTTTCGCGACAAAGGCGATACATATCGAACTCGTGAGCGATTTGTCAACGAAGACTTTTTTACAGGCGTTGAACAGATTTTTTGATCGACGTGGCAAAAGTTCAATAATTTACAGTGATAACGCCAGAAATTTTGTGGGCATGCGTCGGCATTTAAAGGAGGTGTACACACTTTTCCAGTCCCCAGAACATCTGTTTTCTCTCATCTAGCGGACAAAGGAATTGAGTGTCAATTTATACCACCCCGTGCACCGCATTTCGGTGGACTTTGGGAGGCTGCGGTCAAAAGTATGAAAATAATGAAAAGTAAGATTGTTTTATCGTTTTATAGAATATTCATAGAAAATTCGAGGTCAGAACATTAAAATGCTGTGCGCCTCGACTTAAATTATTCCAAATTACTTAAAATTTTCAGAATATTATTTTTTTATACTAAAAAATTGGAGGGATGTTAAAAAAGAAATTTTGAAATTCTTAAATAAAAGACTACCCTAGTAATACGTGTATTAAATTGCTTGTAGTTCATATTAAAGCTAATTATTATTTTATTTTTTTAACAATAATAATTCTTTGTTGTGCTGCTTTACTCGAAAAGTTAATTTTTAGTTATCATTTCTTACATCCTAAACTCGTAACTTATTATATTATGTAAGATTGTTAATTTTATACAGTGAAATGTTAGTTCTATACAATTTTAAAACAATTATAAATATTTTATACTTAAATTTCTGGTCATATCAAATCAGGAGCTAATTATCTTACGGTATAATACTGCAGAATAGCTTGAAACACTAAATAAGAGCCAAGCTAATTAAAATTATGTCTTAAAACTTTTTCATTCTCTAGATCTTAAAAATCATTAATATTAAAAGTAGAAAAATTTAAATTAAAATTTTTTTCTAGGTCAATTAATTTGCNGTAGAAAAATTAAAATTAAAATTTTTTTCTAGGTCAATTAATTTGCCAAAAATTATGTATTTGAGATTTCAAATAATTCTGTCTTTTATAAGTTAAAATAATCTCATAAATTACCATAATTATACCATATTTTTATTCACCATTTTTTTTTTTTAATGGTAGAACAAATTTAAAATGATACATAACAATATAAAAATTTATATTTACGAAAATATATCAAAATTACAATCGTTGAAAACGGCAGTTTTTTTATTTGTTTAGCAATTTTAAATGTCTATTACTATCTGAAGAGTACATAGATAAATTCGAAATTATAATTGACACGACTTACGTCACAATAATGTATTCGACACTGATANAATTATAATTGACACGACCTACGTCATAATAATGTATTCGACACTGATATAGATGGTACAGAGGCATGGGTCGTTTATTACTGAAGAACAACAAAAGATTATTAAAAAAAAGAAATCGAANCTTGAAACACTAAATAAGAGCCAAGCTAATTAAAATTATGTCTTAAAACTTTTTCATTCTCTAGATCTTAAAAATCATTAATATTAAAAGTAGAAAAATTAAAATTAAAATTTTTTTCTAGGTCAATTAATTTGCCAAAAATTATGTATTTGAGATTTCAAATAATTCTGTCTTTTATAAGTTAAAATAATCTCATAAATTACCATAATTATACCATATTTTTATTCACCATTTTTTTTTTTTAATGGTAGAACAAATTTAAAATGATACATAACAATATAAAAATTTATATTTACGAAAATATATCAAAATTACAATCGTTGAAAACGGCAGTTTTTTTATTTGTTTAGAAATTTTAAATGTCTATTACTATCTGAAGAGTACATAGATAAATTCGAAATTATAATTGACACCACCTACGCCATAATAATGTATTCGACACTGATATAGATGGTACAGAGGTATGGGTCGTTTATTACTGAAGAACAACAAAAGATTATTAAAAAAAAGAAATCGAAAGGACGAACCCAATTAATAATAATGTTCGTATAAAATCGCGGCACTTTCGCTGTTGTCAGAAATGTGGTGTCCTACATGGTCCTCGGACGTCAATAGTAACAGTGTTGATGGCGACGGTGCGGTATCGGGTCATCTTGTCAGGATGCGCAACACGTCCAGAGCCAGTGGCGTAAATCATCGACGACTTGAAGCAGACTCGACCAATATTTGCAAAGGGTCGTCGTCGGGCGATCGACACTTACTGGACTTTGTACTGTAACGTGTGGCAGACTGTGTTGGTCAGTCCAATTACCATGTAAACGTAGTAGAGCGATCGCTGACATATGCGATACAGGCGTAGGGCTCTGTGTATCTAACGTATCATAATAATATAGATGATTAACTTTCTCTCGATATACTGTTATTGAAAATCCAATTAATTACCGAGGAACTTTATAGAAGTTCTGTGTAAAGTGAATTTTAAAACCAGTAGCTAAAACTAATTTTTTTTTTTAGGGACTAATATTGTCAACATCAGCACATATTAAAATTGATCAAGTTNTCAACATCAGCACATATTAAAATTGATCAAGTTATCAATTATTTGTCATCCAAAAATTTATCACATGCACAAAATGCATTCCATAATTGCATTGCTAATTTAAACATAAATGGTTTTGAACAAATGAATTATGGTAAGACGTTGAAA